CAAAACAATAATAAATTGGTCATTTTCAATCTACGACTGTTTGTGGGACATTGCTGTGCGCAATTGGCTGCCGCGTTCGCCCACAAATATACAGTCAATTCACTTTACAGTGTGTTCTGTGAAGCGCTTTGGGACGTCCTCCTGACGTGAAAAGCGCTATATCAAATGCAAGGATTATTATTATTATTATTATTATTAGATATTACAACTCTGGTTTATGGCCGTTACTGAATTGTTTTTCTGATCTCCCTTTTAGTTCTTGTATTCTTTTCTACATTGTAGCACCCTTAATGTCAAGTGGATTCAGTTCAAATTCCGATTTCAGAGTTTGTATGTGATGTTAAACTGAGGTCTGGTCTGCCTGAGGTCTTTAAAGATCCCAAGCCACTATTAGAAAAGAGAAGGTAATTTCTTCTGTTGTCCTGGCCAACAATCCCCCAAATAAAATTGCTTGTGTATTTCTTGGCTGTTTCATAGATTCATCATTGATGCAGCTCAGAAACGGGCCCATCCTGTCTGGCTGGTGTTTATACTCCACACAAGTACCATATCCTACATCCCGGCTTTCCTCATTTCCCTCAATTTTATTCTCTTTACCACGTATCCAGTTTATTTTCGACCATGCACATAGTTGCCACCCCAACAACTGACTGTGGCCTGACAATCGTTTTGTACCGATTCAGCATGACCTCCTTATCCTTGTACTCTGTTCCCCTAGCTATAAATCCCAAGGTCNTTTTTTTGTGGGACATTGCAATGTGCAAACTGACTGCCACGTCATGTTTGCAGTCAAAAGACAGTCACTACACCTTAATCCAGTATATACTGTGAAGTGCTTTGAGACATCTTTTGAGACTTGTGTGAAATTGCATGAACCAATAGGGTCTTTCTGCTTGAAATTAATACTTTTTTTTCCTTTTTTGACTTTATTCTCCCTCCCCACCCACATTATAGTATTTTTTATTTGAAATAATGAAAGAAATCTTATCTTTATGAAATGAAACCATGCATCTACAGAACATACTGTAAATGTTGCTTTTAGTATGGATTTAAAAAATGTCCTGTGTAAGTACCAGAGAAACTGTACCTTAATATTTTGATACCTTACACTAATCTGTTTTTAACAGAACTAAATTAGGCTTAAACAAAATGCAAAATACTGCAGATGCAGGAAATCTGAAACAAAAACAGAAGTTGCTGGGAACACTTAGCAGGTCAGGCAGTATCTATGGAGAAAGGAAAGTGAGTCAACGTTTGGGGTCCGTGACCCTTCATTAGAACACTGTTCTGACAAAGGGTCGTGGACACGAAACGTTGACTCACTTTCCTTTCTCTATAGGTGCTGCCTGACCTGCTGTGTATTCCCAGCGACTTCTAAATTAGGCTTAATACTTGATTTGGTCTTTGAATTTGATTAAGACATTTTTTTATGAAACTATTTTGAGGCTACATTGGGTTTAACACATTCCTCACTCCCCCAAGGAAGACGGGGTAAAATTACATCAGAAAAGTTATCCCCAGTGAAAGAGTTAAATCAAATGTTTTCCACTTTAATCAGTAATAAAGGCAAGCAAAATCCAAAGTCCCAGTGACAATCCCAACTAAAGCAGTGATACTGGCCTAGTGCTGCTGTGAACAGAATACCAGATCTTTTCAGACTGTCAGATGTTTTAGTTTTATAGCTGGTTGCTTCTGTGGCTAAGGATGTGTTAATGCAGACCGGCTCAGGAGGAACAAGGTTCCCTGGACGAAACCCAGTATAAACTAATCAAACAGCTCCCCCTGGCCTCCAAAACTGTCCACCACTATTACATTTATATCAATCACAGGAAGTCTGTATTCACAGTCGTAATTTTTTCCCTCACATCTGGAAGAGGGAAATTATTTTTTGCTGCAGAGGTCACAGGGATTCTGGGTAGGGCATGGAATGAGGGCTTTGCAAACATGGGAAAGGGAGAAGAAAACTTAAGTTTCCACCTTTTCAAAAAAAAAAGTTATTTTTGAATGGTTTGGTTCCTAGCCAGCCTATACATGCAAATCTTTTTGGTTTGCAGAGTAGAATGGATAGTTTCAAATGATTATTCAGAATGCAGTTGCTATTAAATAGACCTTCTCTTAATAAATAAAATTGCTCTCCTGAATTTCAGAAACTTTTACTTGTTTGTGAAAATACATTCTCAACAGCATAGCAGTGGAGTTCCTGGATGGAAAAACATCAGCCTATGAAAGGATGCTTACTATTTCTGTTGCAAAACTGCAAAAACTAATTTTCTTGGTAATAATCGGGTTTGATTTTTCATAACACTTAGAGAAAAAGATTAAAAATTATTCCCGGAGTTTGGGTTTCTTGGCTTTCCTAAATTAAACTATATACACAAGTTACTGTTACCAGAGTGGTAGGCCTTATTATCTACCTGTCAATATCATAGTTACCTGTTCCTCAGTAATTTAAAAATACTGCACTGAAATCAAATTTGAACAAAATTCGTAAGTGACGTATATTGTTTCTCCAAATGAGTGCCCTGGGAGTTTCCTCTGTCCCACTAACGTAAGAGTTATGTACATCCATGTAAAACAGAAATTATCATCAGTTAGATAATTTTTAATTGATAAGTATCTGATATTATAAACAATCGGTGAGTTAAGCTTGAACAAATTCTCATGTGGCTCATTTCAAAATCTAGTATTACATTTTCATCTCCTGCCTTATCGTTCTCTGCCTTTGTTCGTTTTCAAAATGGCTCAGCTATACTGAATATCCAGAGTCTCATTTTGGAGTCTATATCCATAAAATGTTCTTTAATCATTTGAGAATGTTCAGCTGTGTTACATAACTGGTTTGGATCAGATATTGTGTTTCTTCACCAAAAAGAATTCTGAAGATATGGATGCATCGAGGACAGATCACCACAAATTATACTATGATTTCACAGTGCCAGTTTATATCTTTTAACTATTTAAATTATATTCTTATAAGCAATACTCAATCTTTTGGTTTATTTTCAAATGACTACTGCTTGCAATGGAGATAATACAGAAATACTTAGCACTTAGTCTTGTTAGTGTGACCATGGCTAATGTGAGACCCCATTTGTAGACTTCATTTAAGTTTTGTATATTTTTAATGTTGTGATTCAAAATAGATACAAAAATGAATTAATAATAATAATCCTTGCCTTTTGACACAGTGCTTTTAATATCAGGAGGACGCTCCACAGGATATAATGTAAAGCATAGTGATTGTATTTTATATTTGCTAATCGCAGCAGTCGATTTGCGAACAGCCATGTCCAACAAATAGCCATATAGTGATTAACCAATTTTATTTGGGGGACTGTTGGATAGAACCCTGTACTTTAATGTGCAGTATTTCTAAGCTTGTTACTACATCCACATTTTGGAGGAGAGTTGACTTTTGAAAAATGGGTATTGAAGTAAAAGGAATTAGGTGTGAGGGATTGAGATGTCATGAAGTTGCGTCTCAAATGCTGGAAAAGCTTTTCACTTTTGTGAAACTTTTCATTAATTAGAGGAAAGACAAAAAATTGTGTAGCACTTCCATTCATCTATCGATATGCCCTGAGTTTTAGACCTTACAGCAACTACATACACTTCTACAACATGTCGCATTCAAAGTGCTTTACAGGGTTGGTGTGGAAACCTGAAAGTGGGGAAATTTAATTCTGATCATCTTTCATAACTAACTTGTATCAAGCCCTCTGGGACGCTACCCAGCGTGAGCGGCGACATAAATGAAAGTTCTTTGTTGTTGTTAGTGTGTTGGACAGTGTACCTGTTGTAAATGCAAAGGGGAAAGGTTTGTGTTGAAGCAGAATAATTTTTGGCAATCATTTGGTGTAGATTGGAATATTTGATATGGAAGATAAGATTTCTTGTTTTCTTAAAAAAAAGTTGGAATCTTTATCTGAAAAAATAAGTTAAAAAAGTTACTTTTGTTACCCAGTATATTTTTCATTGTGTGCTATCTCCACCTCAACTCTTTGAATTGTAATTGTTAGCACTCATAAGAGGAATTTAAAATTCTCTGAGATATTTGCAGTTTGATTCTGTCAAACTACAGTATAACATTGCAGAGCTAGCCATTCAAAATCACTGTCTACAACAGTGAATGTTAACACTGAACAGGGCACTTTAAAAGATAACATAGTGTTATGGTATGTAATCATCAATATAATATGATATGTCATGTTGCTACATTCAGAGAAAGGCGGCAAATCGCAACTGTCAGGCTAACAAGCTGTATTAAGAAACAACATAAGACCAAAATTGATCAATATGATCTACAAGGGAATAGAATTTATAGACAGATAAGAAGATTTCTGTATTTTGAAATTCTAATTTTAAGTAGTCAGGACTCCTGTCCTGTTTGTTTTTCATTTGTGAAATTCACAACCGGAAGAACACGCAAAGCTAGGTCTGAAAGCAGCTGCTTAATCATATCCTCTTATCACATGGAGTTAGATTTGTCACCAAGATAGATGCTAAATTATATGATTCTCTTTACGAAAAGAGAATCAGAATGGCGGGATGTGCAGGTTTAAAACGGGAAGAGATGTTCATGAAATAAAATTATTTACAAAAGTACAGAATGTTCTACTAGTCACAGGCCAGCACTGTCAAAACACCTCATATATTTAATATAGTCACATAATCAACAAACTCTACTTACTGATAGTCTGCAAATTTGGTATCCATTTTAATTTGAGTGGAGTTTTTTTTTAAAAAAACTGGGCCTGGTCCAGGGCAGGTGAAATCTTCTCTTTCTCTCTCTCGTTCTTCAGCAAAGCTAATGGAATGGCAACACTTGCTTTAAGACAAGTTAAATGCATGCTGATGTGTCCTGAGGGCAGCCTGACACAAAAAATGTTTTCCCGCCCTGTAGAGGTATCTCATTAAAGCTGTCAGTGAATCGTTATTAAGTTTTCATGTGGTTGTGTGTTTTGATGCTAATGTAATGTGTATGACTTGTTTCATTTCAGCACAAATGTGGTTATGAATTATTCAGAGATCGAGTCTAAGGTTCGAGAAGCAACCAATGATGATCCATGGGGACCTTCAGGGCAGCTAATGGGAGAGATCGCCAAGTAAGTGCTAATCTTACTGAGCTCTAGGGGTATCTCGAGATATGCATGAATAGAACATGCTGCTAAATTATCTGTTCAAACCATTGATTTATTTATTGTTTACTAGTAAAATACATGGTATCAGTGTTTGGTCTGGATGTTGCTTTTCAAGATAAATAAAAATTGAATTTACACAGCGTTCAGTAATGCAGCTTCCCTTTTCAACAGTAAAAGGCAAAGGGAGTGGCGGGGAGGCTAATGTTTTTACTATAAGTGTTAGGCCGGCTAATGATAGAGCTGTGGAGCAGACCCGACCTCACACTTTACTCGCACAGTGCAGTTTATGGTAGCTTGTTGAATTTTGTTTTCTAGTGGTTTTAAGCTTTATAGGGAACCTTAAAAGGGGTATTTTCCTTTTTAACTCTTTAAATTGCCACAATTGAAGCTTCCCAGAAATAGTAAACATTTAAAAATGAGTATCGACTTGAGTGCCTTTTAATTAAAGTCTCATAAAATCATCATTCTTCAAATTTCAGTAATTATTCTAAATCACAACTCGGAATCACTGAGTCTTTTGTAGAAATTGTTTATTTTTTATTGCTATGTTAGTGTACTACATATTTCACAAAATGAACAATGAAGCTATATACTAACTTTTGCAGTGAACACATTTACACAGGGCATGGATTTGGAAGACCAGATTTTTGCAAAAGGTTATTTTATTTTTTTCAGAAACCCTGCATTACTGAAACATGGATAGCTGTTAGGATCAGAATTTCTCTAGTCCACTTTATTTTATTTTTAAATGAGCAAATCTAAATATTTGTTCCTGAGCCTGCTCAATTGAACATAATACAACTGAAATCACAATCTGTTTTTTGAATAAATAGAATGAGTTTTTACTTTGCTTTTAGTGCTCAAATGATATTGAATGCTTATACATTGTACTGAAGAATAAAACTTGAATAATTGGACTGTGTGCAACATGGAATGTCTATTATTCCCAGGGTAGGATTTTATGACTGTGGCTGAATAGGAAGTGGTTTTGAATATTGGAATTTTCTAGTTGCATCCACGCGCTTTTTTTTCAAAGCATCAGTTACTCATTACTGAAATCCACAAATATTAAGGCTTAGCCACCATCTCACTGATTGATACAGTTTACGTGTTCATGGATAAATCTCTATTCCTGTGTATCAAAGATTCTCTTGCTGTGAATGTTGCAGCAAGAGAAGGTTTTTAAAATCCTAAAGTTCATGTACAGCTTCATAATACATTGCTTTCCCTCCCCCTTACCCCTCATGCTTTTTTTTATTACCCTTTATGCTTTTTTTTAAACAGTGGTGGCTTCATCTGAATAGTACTAATACAATACAGCAAACTTCTTTCATGAATTTAGGGCTTATGTTTTTTCTTATAACAACATCTTTCATATAAAATGAACATCTCATAATACTAACAAACAAAAAACTATGGAGGGATCCTATGTGTGTGTATGTGTGTGTGCAATTCACCCCCGGACCATCTGTTGTTATATATGTAAATAACACTAAATATTTCATGCACTGTATGTCAGATCAACAAAGAGAGCTTAATAGCCAGCTGGGGCATTTTCTTTCATGATAATGTACTGACAATAATTTGCAGTACTACTTGATTCATAATGCCTATTTGTAAAAGGAAATGTGTGCGTATATTATACCAAACCTATTCTGCCACCTACAGCCGATCATTATTTATTGCTTCTGCTATGGGAATATACACCCACGACAGCTTCCTTTGCAAGTTAAAAATAGCACAAAGTAAATGCTGAAGGTTATATTTGTACATTGTTCGGTTGTTGCTTTGTTTCTTTATAAAGATTGGATATACTGAGACCTCTCTCTTTATTTTATTCAGGTCTACGTTTATGTATGAGCAGTTTCCTGATGTTATGAACATGCTTTGGACTCGAATGTTGAAAGACAATAAAAAGAATTGGAGGAGGGTCTATAAGGTGTGGTAGCAAAATCACTTTTTTCCATTTCTTAACAAATCAAATTAACTATTTAAAGACTTCCTATCCATAGTGTCTAAAAATGCAATTCCTTGTTTGTTTTTGTTAAATGTAAATGCATTCAAAAGATTTTCATTAAGATTTTAGGGTTTTTTTCAGCATTAAAAGAATTATTATTAACTTGACTTGTAGTAGTAAATTATAATTTTCTGTCCGAGGTGTCAAAACATCTTCAGAATGAAAACATTTTATCCCAAATCATAATCAGTTGAAATGGTTCACATTCCTCCCCATGCTCCAATCTGGTGTATTTCACACCATTTAGTCCAGTACACCATTCAGTACATTCTATCAATTGTCAGATTTCAAATGAGCATTATTGTACCCCGAAAGTTAAAACTATCACATCACAATCTTTAAGGTGAAAACATTTTTTACTATCCTTTCCATTATTGACAAATTTGCATCATTGAATTTCATTGTGCTGTAAAATATATTTTGCCATTCAACCAGGCAAGAAGCAATAAATTACCATATTCCAATCAGTATGCTTACAAACTCTTGTAGCTTGTAGCAAGTGTATATTTTTATACTGCAAGGTTTAGCGTTCGAGGGGGATATTGTAGAGTTAGAAAGATGCAAATGCTGTATTTCTTCAAGAAATTTACTGTATGCAGATTTTGTAAAAATAACTTGAAATCTAAAAGGCAAAGTTAAACATTTTCTTCTTTTCAATACTTTTGTCTATTTTATCTGAAAACCTATAATAAAAAGATTAAGATGAAAGAGAGAATTAGAGAAAGACTGGCATGGTGATCTATAATGATTGTATAATTTCTAATGGAACAATTTTCAGTTGGCTTTATTTGAGTTTGTTAAACAGTAAATATTAACATCTTTAAAATGTGTTTCTAAATATCCATTTAGTTTATAGTGTTTAGAATTGTACACCAGGATTATATCTATCAGCAGTGCCATTTATCTATGCAGATCAGAAAATACACTTAATCGATCAACATAATTGTATTCACATTTGACATTTCTAACAGATGTTTTCCTCAGTGCAGAATATCACCAAATACAAAATATGATCCACTAACTGAAAAACCAAATGTGGTTTTGCGAATGACTTCAGTCAAATTTAAAAATACCGGTTAATTAAAATGTTTTAATTGATGTAGGGCATGTTTTAGACCAATTAACACAACTGGATGCTTTGATCAAAACTATTTTGTGCCTTGGCCTCTGATTATGTAATTTAACGTGTACTTAAATTTAAATTTCAGCTCAAATTCTTCAATCTGCTCATGAAATAAATGACTTACTGCCCCCCTGTTTAATAACATTTAAAACTAGAATGAATATCCCTCTGTAAGTGTAAGTGTAACTGACAACTACGATAATCCCCAACGTGTTTCACTGCTGAGACTCCATGGTACACAGCCGCAGATGGTAATTAATGAGGTTCAAATACTGCAGACACTTATTTGGTCTGTTAAAGGAAATGCATAGCTTGCTCTACAATATTTATCTCTTAAAATGTGAAAACCTTTTTGGAATTCTTTAAAACCTTTTAAACATTATCCTATCAGTCATCATACACCAACATATACATTTATGCAATTTAAATATTTGCAGATTTTCAAAATTAAGTGCAAGCATTTTCATGGAGAGAAAGGAGGATTTTTAATTGCTTTCAAAAGTCTTGGTACAATAATGATTTTGAAAGTGCATATATGCAGTATAAAAAGCAAAATATCAGACCTGAAATCAAAAGGTTACATAGTTTTTGAAGCTTGTAGCTATTCCATTCATTTGCCTGTGTTATCAGTTATTGGCTAAAGCTGCATTGAATATCAAAATAACAGTTTTCAGAATTTGACACGTTATTAAAAAATGTCAGTCTTCTTCATAGTAGATTACTTAATTATAAACATGTTTGCAATTACTACAATTTTGTGCTGGATTGGAGTCTAAAAGAGTTCCTGTGTGTTTCCCCAACCTCTTACTGTATTTGTTATTGTGAAGCAGTGACAGCTGTTTGGTTACAGGTTGCAGCAGAAGTGCAGAATATTGTAGTATATTATCATAAGCCATTGTGTAGATTTTTTTCCGCTTCTAATACTCGCTTGTCTTTCCTTTTTGTGTCGGCTGTAATGAAATTCTAGATTGGGAGGAAGTTCTTGTACACCTGAAGAGAAACTCCCTAAAGACAGGTTGACTGCTGATCTTATACTTCATAATTCAAAAAATAATTTGTTGGTTTACATTATGTGGCAGGTTTGACACATCCTTTAATGGCGAGTGTTGCTTTGTTTTGTACAGAGGTCAAAACAGATTTACCAAATAGGACGTGTAAGCAAATATGCACAGGGCTTAAATGAATGATTTATTTTTCTGAAAATGGTATTAATTTTAAAATTTATTGTAACTAAAATTTTCCTGTTTTATGCTTTACCGTGTACAAAAATGTTTCTTAAATCCAGGTATTAAATACTTCAGCTTGATTCATTCTGTACAATAAAGCGAAAGGGCTTCGGTATATTGACCTAGTATTTGTAGGAGGACACCATGTCAAGCACAAAAGTATGTTTTGTAGTTATTATTTATCATGGCTAATAAATATTTTCTGTGTGTGACGACTAATTGGCAGAATTGGTCACTTTTCCACCATCTGGGTTGGAACAGTGCTACTAATTAGTATGTTGCGAAGGCATCAGAATCTCTCTAATTTCTACTTGTATGGAAGGCATATTTATGTTCTATTCGGCTGGTAAACTAATCATGCAGCTGTCAATTTTGATTTGTGTTGGGAATTCCTCCCACTGACTGCTGACATTCACGCTACTTTATTAAAGCAGAAAATAATCATTGCAATGTGGCAGGGGTGGGACTTTGTTCTTGCAAACATAAAACAATGTTCTCATCTTTTTTGTCTTTCTCCTCTTTCCTCCCCCCCACCCCAATCCTTTATAGTCCTTGCTTCTTCTAGCTTACCTCATAAGGAATGGGTCAGAGCGAGTGGTTACCAGTTCCAGAGAACACATTTATGATTTGCGGTCAATGGAAAACTACCACTTCATAGGTAAGCAAATCTCCAGCACAAGAAAGCTTTGAGCAAATTATAACGGCAAGTGGGGTTGTCAGTTACCTGAGCCAGTAGATCAGCCTCCTACACTAATTAGAATGTGACTGGTGGCACTATCTGAAGAGTACAGAGTCTGAGATTGGGGCCCTAGAGTATTAATTAGCGAAGACAAGAACTCGCAGAAAGGACATGGTAATAACAACACAACTAGCACAATATGAGTGCTCAGATTTTTTTAAAAAAGCACAACAGCTACGACTCCCTTGTGATGCTCATAAAGAAATTGCCTTAATTACACAGGAAGGAAAGGTTAGACACCAACACAGACTAATCTGTTTGAAGAAATGAGAAAATCTCCAAATAATATTTGCAGTGCAGTGGCAATAAGGCCAAGTTTTTATTGTTTTGACACACAAGTCCACATTTAAAAGACTGAAATAAAATGAATGAACATTATGAACATTATGTTAGCTAGATCTGTTCATGACCTAATAATCCAGATACCTTTTATAAATGGACAAATTGCATTGAATAAACAAAACAAATACATGAAATTGCAAGCCTGTAATTTGACTAATCAAGTTGCCATTATTTCTTAAAATAATTAGCTTTGCAGACTTTTGAATGGAATAAATCTAGAATATCAGAAAATGAAAAATTACAACTGGTGCCTTTTCTGTGAAGTCAATTTTGAAACTATAAGAGATTTTTTGAATCTATGTAAAATAACACAAGCTGTGTGAAATTTGTCTACTCGGGCTTGTGTTTCATATTAGAATTTTTCAGCTGTTGTTTACAGTGCCCTCGGAGGATCTTGGAACTTAGGTGTGCATTTGTAACCAAAACTCTTGTATGTGTGTTTTCTACATATATAAAACTACTTTGCTGGGAAGGTTTAATCGCATCAGCAAAGCATACGAATTTAAGAAACCCATGCTCTGTCTTGTGTTACCATTGACCTTGGACATTAGCCAATTGATGATTTAATTATGATATTGTTTGTTCATGCTTGTATACTTGATTGGCTGCTTCCTCTATAGATGAAAATGGGAAGGACCAAGGAATAAACGTCAGACAGAAGGTGAAAGAAATGGTCGACTTTGTCCAGGATGACGATCGCCTCAGAGAAGAGCGAAAAAAAGCCAAGAGAAACAAAGACAAATATATTGGAGTTTCCTCAGACAGTTTGGGAAGCTTCAAATACAGTGAGTATTGTGGTGCAATGGGAAAATATATAAAGGACCTGGATTTTAAGCTTGCTTGTAGGATATATCTCAAGGATTTAGGAGGGAAGATATGGATGAGCTATTTAGATTGGCAATGGGGATTGTTGCCTGTAGGAAGACTGCAGCAAACCTGATCCTATCCGCATCTGACCTCCATGTACATTTTCCAGCATGTCACCTGTTCAGGAATGGATGATAAAATACAACCAAGACCAGGGATTAAGCATGGGGCTCTTCTGCTCTGTACACTACACAGTTATGTAACCATTGAGCCGTCAGTGAAATCTGAAGTAATTATAGAAAGTAAATCCTTAATTTGCCAGCATTATTATGGTTTTAAAATTCAATAATGTTGGTAACTGCAGTATGAACACTTGGCTGTTCATCACAATGGTTTTGTGTTTAATTCCTGGCCTATCTGGAGGGTGGGGGGGAGGGGAGTTCTGCAATTTGCCTTGAGGAAAGGTAAGCGGGATCCTTAGAGCTGAACTGGCTCCAAGATAACAGATAACATATTCAACAGAATATTGAAATTGAGTCAAACCTTTGTGGCAGTCTTGGTAGTCCAGTTCCTGAGCAGCACTCTCCAGGGCTCTGCTGATGACAGCCCAGCCAGCTGGCTCATCTGTAGGGCAGACCAGTCCTGAGGACAGGGATTCTTCCTACCTAGCTCCTGTTAATCCTGCAAGCCAAAGCCCTAATAGGTTGGGTTGTCCTAGCTGGATAAACAGCAGGAACGCTTATCAGACAGTGCTTTCAGTGGCAAGCTATGCAGTTTTAGCTGGTGAAACTCCCAACAATACCCCGATGACACTCTGGCCTCCCCAAGCCTTGGCTCTTGTCAGCTTGCACTTCATACTTTCAGGAATTGGGTAAGTGGGGTGCTTCCCTCCAGGAAGAGATTGTGCATTCCATTCCATTACACAGGAATTTTCTTGTGTCGGTGGGTTCCAAGGAACTGTCTGGTTTACATATACGTAATGCTGTTGGGTTTCCACACGTGTAAGATACCCCGCTGATGAAAAAACAACAGGATCTAGCTTCTGGATTTTTGGAGAGCAGATATGAATGGAAAAAATCTGAGGGTTAATATTTCGCAGGAGGAAAATCGTGAGATCATTTAACTTTAGGCTCATTGCTGACTTCCAAGCTCAGAGTAGCTGTGGTCGAGAAAATTCTTGTTTAATATTCTACATGAGCAGCACAATACTGGTAGTGGACAGTGTATAAGATGTTTGATTTTTTTATTGCCGATTGAATGTGTGATTCTGATTTGCAGTGATTTATATGCATTTCTTTGCAACAATGTAAATGAGGCTTTTGATGCGAAGGGAACACTTAGTTGAGAAGAGTAATGTTTTCACGCCAGGTCCCTAAACCTCGATGTTTGGAATTTCTAAAAAAAACAAATACCTCAGTAATAAGTTGATCCATGATGTGTGCCGTTCAATGGTAAGGCTTTTTGTTGCAGCAGAATACCCCTGGGCTTTTGCTACCTGCTGTTGATTTGAAGGCTACTTCAATCTCCTTGTGAACACAGGTAAGGTTGCAACACCTATTGTCTCCAAATGCAGGGTGCAGTTTGTGATCCCTAATACGTAGAGAGTGGAGGTGCTGCCACATAAGAGCGTTGCTTTTTGTACAGCCCTTCTGTGTTGAGCAGTTGAGCAGTTCAGGGTCTGGTTCAGTACTTGCACAGACCCAGTGATGTCCTTGCGTTCCATACGATGACGTCACAGATAAATTGATGCCTTTGTGTATAAGTTCATTTTTTTGCTGTTCCATTCAGCACAGCCTCTTGGAAAAGATACCCAATTAGCCTTTAACTAATGACTGGTAGCAGTGTAGCAGTGGTAAAGAGCTGCACCTGAATATCAGCCTTTCTCTCTCTACCCCATCCCCCCCTCCAACCCACAGTCCGGCCAGGTCTCATTATTGTTCCTTAGGTAGTTGGCTATTCGTTTAAAAGCTCAATTTTCCACTGGTACACAAAATGCCATGGTGTCATGGACACAATGACGCCTGAAGTCCCCAGGGGATCCCAGCTGTTAAACCATCAGGACTGGTAGCTGACAAAGGCAGAAATGGTTCAGCTGTTGGTGCCTCCAGTCACACTAGGTGTTGCTTCCAGTCAGATCTGTGATTGTGTGTTTGCTGCACAGAACCAAATGCGCCTGACTCGATACCCGTACTCAATCCAACGTCAATCTGAATCTCCTGAACTCCCTTGTGATAGTTGGCTTCAGATATAATTGATATCTTCTGTGTTCAGTTTGCTTAATTTTTAGTTTGGATATAAAGAACCCTTTTTTTCCCCCTGACACATAATTTATGTACCAAATCCGTTCTTTCTTCCACTCCCTTGTTTTAGTTGTGGTTATATTGAAAAAGAAATGACAGGAATGATTAAGTTAAGCTGTGTGGTTGCATGTTATTCTGATCAGACATTTAGTGTCTGACTGTATTCTCTCTCTTTCCCCATATGATAGAACCAAATGTGCTTTCATTAATTGCTGACAATATTTCAATTTCAAACAAACAAACTGAAGTATTTAGTTTGACCAAAGTGCCGAGATCTAGGTGATGTCCTGTAAAATGTTCTGTTAGTGTGCCTATAAAGTCAGTTATGTTATATGTGATTTTTTCAAAAGGCTACAAACCTAGACATTTTGACCGTCTTTCCTCAAACGATTTGGTATCCTGTTTCATGAATGAGATTTTCAAGATGGCAGATAGATGTCATTGAAAGGAAGCGAAACAGTTCCTGTGACCAAATTAGTTCTTTGTTCTTTTAGTGATTTCCAATTTTAATTTAAAAAGTCACAGTCTAAGATAATGAAGTGGCTAGAAATTATTCGACTATCAGTCTGACCGTAATTCACATGACTCGCTCATGAATGAATCAGGTTGAAAGATTGTAAGAAAGATGGATTTGTATCTGAGGAGATTCCAAAGACCCTAAGGAAACTCCAAAAGCCGCTTTAAATCTTTTGCTTCTTATTGAAGATTTGTAATGATGAAATCTGTCGAGGCACTACAACTTGATTTTGAAATTAATACAAATCTCATTTGAGTGCATATAATTTTTAGTGAGTTCTTTGAATGTGTAGTGCTGTGAAGCTTTAGCGGGCTTTGGCTAAATCGGATTACACTACAAGATTATGTTTTAAAGGATTTATAGATGTATGAACGAACACCAGGCCCGTAAATGTGAGAATCCAATAAAAAGATATGATCCAAGTGGAATACAGAGGCTTAGTTGTGCTGACTGTATCGACTTGATCCCTTATCATGGATATCCTTGTGTAGATCACTAATCCTTTCTGAGGAGCAAAAGGATGGCATTGCTGTAGAACATGTGTACACAAGAGGATACAAATACCTAGACTGGTTCATTTATGTCATATATAATATAATATAAAAATCACATATGACATAACTGAACCGTGATATGCCAGTATAAATTCAGTCCTTACAGTTAGTGGAATACATTTTTGTTTTACTAAATTGCTCACCTTGGCTTATAACTTGCACAATAATAATTGAACACTGTTTCACAAGTCAGTTGATTTTTGCTGGCGTTTTATTGGCTTGTTAACCCTTTCCACAGTATAGCCCGAAACATCCAGGATGACTTGCGTCTGTTTTAGTTTATCACAGACAACCTGCAGCGGGATTTGCTATAGGATTATTATGCAGAATTTTTTTAGATCTGAACAGTGTTTTTACAAATTTCAGTGACGCCTCCTGTATGTGGAGGAATTCATGTAGAATGTTTTTGTTTTGCGAATGCAGTGCACTGGTGGTGTTGCATGCTGTCAAAAAATGGAAAGATGCACGTTCAATATTTCCACTTCTCTCTATTTCTGTCAATTGCTGCTTTAGGGGGTAAAACTGAGTGAAAGATGGTTGCTTTCCCAAAAAGAGAGTCTGAGTAAAATAATAATTATGAAGATTTAGTGATTGTTGCTGCCGTCCAATCTTGTTCACGTGATGATGGCTGGGAACGGAAAAGGAACGGAATATATTTTGTGTCTTTTTCCTTTTTTTTGAGAAAATGGTATCTAGTTAATGTCTGTTAATTGTTGGATTACATTTACGACATCTAAAGAGGTTTACAGTCCTCATGTTTTTGTTTTCATCTTCTTGTCGGCTTTGTTTTTATTTTAAACACATTTGAACTATTCAGTATGACTAGTTTCTGTTGTTATTTAAAGGGTTAAATTAATCGTGGAGTCCTGTAGCTCAGTGGTTAGAGCACTTGCTTTATAAGCGAGAGACCTGAGTTCAATTCCAGGCAGAGGGCGAAACCTTGGGCAAGTTTCCTTACTCCACACAGAGCCTAATAATAATCCCTCCAAAACCAAAAACAATTGGTCATCTTCAATCTACGACTGTTTGTGGGACATTGCTGTGCGCAACTGACTGCCGCGTTCGCCCACAAATATACAGTCAATTCACTTTACAGTGTGTTCTGTATTATTATTATAATCTCGAATTCCGGGTGTCTTCTCCTGTATTGGAAACTGGGAATTAGTTTTAAAAAAAAGTTTGTTGCTAGCTGTAAAAAAAAGTAGAAGCTGTCAGAATTTATAGTATTTATAGTTTTTTCCATTTTTCCTGAGTTTGAGTTGAATAGGAAGTGATGTACAACTCTACAAATGTACTGATAAAGGAGCATGGAGATTAAACATATTCGATGTGTTAATACTATGAGCATCTTTCTATGATGCAGTATCTGAGCTTAACCTTTTACTTATAAGAAGAAACAGTTCGTAAACATTTGTCCTTTTTTTTTAAAAAGTAAACTTTGTACATTCAGCTCCTTTAAAAAATGGCTTATAGCTAAAACGGGAAGAACCTGGAGTTGGTATTCTGGAAGAGTGAGATCACATGGACAGAGGTTCCTTTATCCCAACCTTTTGTGAATAGGGTTCAGAATTCTCTAACTTGTGCTAGTTTGGCTCTTGGCGTCAAGCTTAAATAAAAAAAACTTCCTGCTGGAGTACTTAGAGGAAACTGCTCCACCCCTGATTTTACTGGTTCTGTTCAACCTGTTAAACTATCTCACAAGATTAGGTCATTTGGTTATACTCAATGTGTTCAGAAATGAATATCCCACTTTCCTGTTGATAATGAGACTGTTATTCAAAAAAATCTCAACCACCATGACCACCCTTCCCATTGCAGGTTCATTGTTCTGTTGAGTGACACGGCATAAATGATACCTGTTGCTAAACATTGCAGCTGTGTCCCACTGCATGTTTCTGTTTGATTAATCCATTTGAGCCCCCTCCCATTCTTGTGGTCTGTGTATGTTGATTTCCAATTTGGGACTACAATACAATTTATATTTAATTTGAGCCTTTCACATCGGGAGGATGCCATGCCATTGCTGGTTGGGAGCAAGACAAGTTGGTTATGATCAATTGCCCATCTATAATTTTTTTCTCACTCTTGAACCAACACTCCCTAATAAAAATGACAGATCATCTATTTTGCATCTATGATGCATGGTAGTTGCACAGGAAGCCATATATATAATATATCTTTGGTCCTATTTGCTTTAGATGCCTTCCTCAATGAACAAAGCTTTCACCTTACAATTTCCTCCCTTGGATGAGTTTCCACTGATGGTGCGTAACTCTGGAATCGCCACTAATTGGACTTTTTTTAAGTTGTGAACTAACTATTTCAGTCAGCAAAGGGGAAGAAGAGCAGTGGAGCCTAAGAATAACTGTTCACTCAAAGCACACATTTCAGATTAATAATATAATAATAATCCTTGCTTTATCACGTCTCCGAGATATCTCACCACGTTTCACTGTAAAGTGTATATTTTGTGGGCGAAACTCAGAAGCCAATTGCACACAGCAGTGTCCCACAAACAATCGTGGATTGAGTGCCCAAATTATTCTTTTCAGAAGAGTAGCTGGAGAATAATCGGGGATGGGAACCCTGGCTTTTTTTTCCCTCCATATCTTTTTCCAGTACCTCGCTAGTTGTAGCTAACACATGGACTAACTGAGGTAATTGAAGGAAGGACTGAGTTTTACTTTCATGTAACATTCATAGTAGCTTAAAAGTGGTGGAATCGCAGCTTCATATCCATAATTCACATTCCTATTCCTGCCCACCTGGTTTACAGTTGGTTTTAATAAAGGAAAATATTTGGAATTCATGAGCTAATGAGAGCAGAAAGTACTGCAATCGTAATTTGCTACTGATGTGGAACTTGAATTATTGTTTAGCGATCATGTATTTGCAGAATCTGGGTACCTTTCTGGTATTCCAGAGAAGTGACAGAACTACTGACAGGTTCTGCACTTCAGAGTACAGTAGTGCATTCATTCTTATCTACATTACACGAGCTGAGCACAAGCGATAATTGATTAGATTTGTGCTGCAAATTTAGCCTGTCTTCCTGAGTTCTCCACAATGTCACTTACTTAAATATTCATAAGATTCACTTACTTTCTTCTCCTGTTAGATGGCTCAGTAATCAGGCTGGCAGAAAAATTGAATTAGGATGAGAGGCTTGTACCACGACAGGGTCAACCACTACCAAGATGGCTTCAAGCATTTGAATTAAGTTTTTATACTCGCTTCATTTAATACCTTTTTGTGTACTTAATAAGAAGCACCAATGATATTTGTGCAAACATAGCTTGAATGATGAAATATGCAATTGCTTGTTTAAATGACTAATACATACAACAGTCGTAGCTGTAATCAGATTTCTGTTGGTCTCGGATTGTGGTGGTGCTTCTGTCATCTTTTTAAACTGCTGACTCAGAGGGACTTTCAGAGTTCAGAGCCACAGCTACTGAAGTAACCATTGCTGTTGGACCGCAAGACCGATTGAAGCGTTTCATCTTTTTTATTTTCCTCTCTTCCAATGTATTATGTAGGTGATCGGTATGATCCGGAGCCCAAATCCAGATGGGATGATGACTGGGAAAAGAGCAACAAGGGTACTTTCCCCTTCAGTGAAAAGTTAGGCGAAATCAGTGACAAGATTGGGAGCACAATCGATGACACAATCAACAAGTTCAGGAAGAAAGACAAAGATGACTCGCCAGAAAGGTGCTTGCAACTTAAAAATATTGTACGGCATCTTGATAGGTTGTACAATTTCCTTCACTTTCAGGAAATTGCATCTACAGAAAAGTACCACTTTGATGAAGCTTTTCCTGTCTAGATATGAAGTTAGCTGTGGGTGTGTGTGTGTGTATGGGGGCATTCTTTCTGAATTTTTAAAGTTCTGGAGATTGAGTGTACTATATAGTACCTTCTAACAAGTCAAATAATTAACTTTAAAAAACTGATTAGGATTTAATAACCATCCTAACTGAGATTCGGTGATTTTGGCTACAGCCTATTTCACTTCATCTTTGAAGTTCAAATTCTTTAAATACATATAGTGAGCCCCTGTTATAACTCACTGCTTTCTAGAACTTTAGTTATGATGAATTGACACTAGAAACAGAGGATAGAGGTGTATCAGAGTAGAAGGGACCACTGTTGTATATCAGGTCATAAAATAAACAATAATCCTCCACTAATTTTCTCTTATATTCCTTGGTGGAATTCTTTTCATATTTCCCTCTTGAGTTTGTCTCCATCACTTCCAGGGGTGTTCCATTCAACACACTCATTGCTGTTTCTATAAAGTAATTAAAACCGGACTCTTTGTTCACCTTCACATTTCTAAGCTTGAGTCTGTGTCCCCTTCCTCTAGAGCTTCTGAATGTGAAATATGTTAGGGTTCAGATTATCTTTGCCCTTTAGGATTTTGAACACTTTTCCCTGAGCATCTCTTTTCCAAGCTTCTATTACCTCTGCTTGTTACTCAGGTGCCTAACCATTATCAATATAGGTTTTGCTGTTCAGCATGATGCACACCATATTCTGCGACTTGTATGCTCTTATGCATAAGATATATACCACCAGTAAGCACTAGTAGCCCAAGTGTACTATGTGTTGAAAAGCAACACAGTTTTGTTTATTTTCACAGTTTTCTTCCTCCATTTTATCACTCTGCATTTGTCTTTGTTAAAAAATATTGGTCATAATCCCAGATATTGGTTGTACTTCACTTGTAGATTATGATCTCATCAGAATCCCTCAATCATATTATAATGTTGTAGCAGATGGCTTCTCATCTTTCTTTCAATCTTTTTTCTTTTAATCTTCAGATTCTTTACAGTAAATACTCTTATTTTGAATTTCAGCGATAGTGAAGAAGAGAGAAGGACCAGAAATGGGAAGGCTGGAAAATCTGAATACAAAGATGAAGAAGAGACAGTGACGACCAAATCAATCCACATCACGCAGGCCACAGAGACAACCACCACACGGCACAAACGCTCTGGAATTCCCTCCAAAACTGTTGACCTGGGTGCAGCAGCACATTACACAGGAGACAATTCCACCCCAGACCTAAATTCTACTACAAAGTCTGCTGAGAAGGTGAGAAGAGATTTAACGCAAGTAACGAAAATTAGACTTGCTTGGCCTGAATATTTAAACGTTTGTTGACCACTTTTGTTTAATTTTGCAAATAAGATTTTTTTATTTAAAAATTCTATTTGCAAAGCTAAATTTGAAGATTTTCAAAATCATTGCTCATTTTGACTAAATGATTCGCTGCTAGCCATACTGATATAACGGGCCTGCTCCAATAATGTTTGTTAAGTGAAAGATTGGGTCAGGAATACAGTTTTAATTTATATATATGTTTTTTAATATATTTTTAATATGTAACGTATTGGATAACAGTTTTGCTTCTCACAAGAACTGAGAACATATAAATGCAGTTTTAAACAAAAATGTAACCTTTTCAGAGAATGTGTTATTTGATAAAATGGTAAGATGGTAATCCTTCTTGAGTCAATTTGAAAAATCCAAGAATGCTAAAGGATACTAGATATCCAATATACTCCTTAAACCAAAAAATTCTATTTTTTGTAACCAAGAAATCAGTCAAGTTATAGTGGCACTAAAACCTGTTAAAACTGGTTCTCCCAGTGCGTCCTCAGAATCAACAGGTCCCTTGGTTTGAATCCACTTCAAGAATTAGATCAACGCTTTTAATTGAATCGGTCTGCATTTGCAGTGTAGTGGTGGGAAAGTTGTGAAATGATTTATTCCCCACTGAATCCCTGTAAGAGGCGCACAACTACATTACTGCACAGCACCTAGAATACTGATAACTTGATGAATCTGTGGTATGCTGTATTTATCGTGCAGATTAATCTTCTAAATGCCTTTTAAATATCTGCACTACCCGTGTTATTTTAAAGAATAAAGTAGAAGAAAAGTAAGCGGCAGAGCAAAGTTTTACTTATTGAATAAGGCATTATTTTCTGCTCCCTATTCTCTTCTGTGTTCGTTTCATGTCACGTTTTAGGCTTGGGTGAAAAAGTGACAATCCTGGTCTTGGGTTTCTGTATTTCTGCTACAAGCCTTCTGCACACAAGTGGCCTCAGGATCTGCCTGTTGCTTTCATGCATTCTGTCTCTGACAAGGACCTCCTCATCATGCACATTGCAATAATCAGTAGATTCTCTGTCGTTCTGTCTATCCAGTGCTTCCTTCCCTCCTCTCCCTGGTGTTATCTTCTTTAATCCTATTCTCCTGTTCTTTTCTCTTGCCTTTTATATTATTTTTCATCAAGCATGTATCCATTTTCCTTTGAAATGCTGCTGTGAAATGCACTTTCAGCCTTTTTTTTGCTAGTGATAATCTACTCGTGATAATCATCTGGTATCTCTTGTTAGCGAAATTGCCCTATCAAAAGCATTGATTATTTTGTAAGCTTTAACCAATTTACTTCTCTATAACAGTGAAAACAGTCTCAACGTTTTAAGCTTCAGTTTAGGGAATAAACATCGCTACCAGAGCAGTGTAGCTGTCCACTATAGGTTGCTTCACTCTTGATGTTACCTTTTGGCCAAAATCAATCTATGGTCTATAACTTACCATTCAGTCAAAGCCTGATTCAGCTGTATAACAATTAGTCTACTTACATCACGTTAGAAAGATTGGTAACTTTATTGAGTATCACATCACTAAATCCTGCACACACCTGCAGAGTTTAACACACCAACAACTACAACAACAAAACAACAAAATTACTTTTATAGAGCGCCTTTCACGTCAGGAGGACGTCCCAAAGCGCTGAACAGTCAGGGTTCAGGACCCGAGCATGGGGAGGGGTGGTGTAGGGGTGAGGGAAGGCAGAGGGGTGGGAGGGCGACCGAAGGCACGATCGAAGAGGAGGGTTTTAAGACCGGCCTTGAAGGACGCAAGGGAGGAAGCGAGGCAAAAGGACTGTGGGATGGAGTTCCAGAGTGTGGGGGCAGAGAGGCTGAAAGCCCGGCCACCGATGGTAGGGCGGGTCGGGCGGGAGACATGCAACAGACCGGAGCCCGATGAACGGAGGGAGCGGGCAGGTTGGTAGGGAGTCAGCAGGTCAGAGAGGTAGGAGGGAGCGAGGCCATGGATGACCTTGAAACTGAGGATGAGGATCTTGTACGCGATCCTCTGGGAGATGGGGAGCCAGTGGAGTCGGGCGAGGGTGGGAGTGATGGGGTAGTGGAGCCTGGTGTGTGAGAGTACACGAGCTGCAGAGTTTTGGATGGTTTGCAACTTGTAAAGAGAAGAGTTGGGAAGGCCGATGAGAAGGGAATTTCTATAATCGATGACTACTTGCTTTTATGTAGTGCTCTTTGTGTAAGATTTGGTCAGAGCATTTAATGACTGGTTTGGCTGAAGAGGTTGGTTTTAAAATGGGATTTATAGATGGATAGAGAGGGGTGATTTGGAGGAAGGGAGTTCCAGAGGTTAGTGACTGAATGCTGATTAGCAGTCCCGATTGCCATGGAGATGTGAATTAAATCTGATTCGAAATAAAACTGAAATATAGAAAATCTAATAATCTGAGATCAAATGTTCCTTTAGCTGTCAGTTTATGCATCAAAGATCACCAATAGTAAGCTGTATTCATCAGTTTTCCACGTGGTGCCTGTTTTGTGAAATGTGCCTTAAAGGTCATGGACTACAAGAGTGTTATAATGAGAGAAACCGTATACTCATCAAGAGCATAGTTGGTGGATTTCAGTGTACTTTAATGGAGTTCAGTTGTTAAGTGCGGTGCATTGATTTGTGGGTTTATAATCCCGACCTGAATTGAATTAATCTGTGGTCTTTACAGCCATCTGCTGGCTGTTCAGAGAACTTCAGCACAAACCAACTCGAGGTAATAAGAACTTAGTATTTTTATTGTGCCTTATGCCAAAACGTCTCAAATCGTTTAACAGTAATTACTGTCAACTGTGGTATTTTTGTAGGCAAACACGTTGGATCCAGCAAGGTTCCAAAAATTGCTGTGAGGAAAGTGACCAATTAATCTGGAGGGCACAAGGAGAAACCTCTTTTTGAGTAAATTTTTAACTGCAACCTGAACAGACATTTGGGTTCTTGACCATAACATCTCCTCTGAAAGATATGAATATATTTTCTAAAGATGTTAAATGCAATATAATGATAATAATCTTTGTATTTGAGGATTATTATCATTGCATTGATAATAATTCTTGCATTGATATAACACCTTTTCACTTTGAGCGCTTCACAGAATATATTGGAAATTGGAATGACTGTGTATTTTGTGGGCGAAATGCAAATATACACAGTCAATATACACACCTGCCAGCATCACTGCAAACATTGGGGCATGTTAAAAACTTAACATTTCATCCAAAAGACTGCAGGATTATCATTTGCTGAAGAAAACTAGTGACAACAAAATGTATTGAAATGTATGCCCAATTGCTTTTTACTTGTATTTGGTGAAGCAGTTTTGCTCGAGTCTATCTCGCAGATGTTTAAGCGTTCTGAGACGCTACCTTGCCTCGAGGGAACTATATAGTGCAAGTTGTTGTTGTTTAATCTCCTTGATCAAAGCTTCAGCTGAGACCAGGGAGATTTTTTTTATTTAACAAAATGAAGTTTTGTAATCAGCTAGTTTTGTTATAATGAAGTGTGACTACAGGTAATTGGAAATTGAACATGTTGGAGTTCTCACTGTGTAAGATAATGGACTTTGTTTCCCTCTTATATTGATCGCAAGTGCAGTGTGAAGTCAACACTATTAATGGATGTCCTGTTTCATAATGGTTTGGATACTTACTTACCTGTCTTTCTCTTTCTTGCTCTCTCTCCCTTTCCAGGCATCAGAAGCAAACATAGTTAACAGTAAATCACAGAATGACCTGGTAGATCTACTATTTGACACAGGATTTGGATCCACTCAAGCTGCTTCCTCGGGTAAGGCTGATCGGTTAGGATACTGGCACTGTCTTCATAAGGCAGCTGATTCTTATTCCTTATCGAAAGCAATTGGAGATGATGCCAATTGTTGTGGGATTTGGGGCAATGCACCTGCTATGTACTTCCCAACAATCCTCTCCTGCTTCTAATTAAAGTTAGTATCTCAGGAATAGCCTTGCCACCTGAAAATAATGTTATCCAGCCAGAAAAAAAACTCCAAACCCCCCAACCCCCCCACAAGCACACTTATAATTTCTGCACTGTGATTACTTTCCTGATTATTGAAGGTGCAGGACATTTTAGAAACATTTCTTGCAGAATCAGCAGTTACATATAATGCAGAGATATGTAAACAGTCAACCTGGGTATATATTTTTTAAAGAATGGATTGTCTTGCATATTCCCAAATGCTACCATTCCCCAGCCAATAGTGTGGGCATATGACCTGCTCCCTGGTGTCTGCTGTTGAACTCAATTGTTAATTGTCAGACGAGTATTATTAGCTTCTAGAGCGATTACCAGGGTAGAATTTCAGCCCGGAAACAATCCACCATTTACTCAGCAATGACGAATATAAAGCTTTTTAGCTGGTTTGCAATCACATTCAAATCAATTCAAATCAGATTCATTGCCAGGAGCAGCACTGTGTCGTAAAGAGTAGAGAGTTAATGGCTTGTTGGCATTATTTAATTTCAGCCGGTGCAGTTATTGACCTCAGTGGTTCAGGGTTAGGGAAGGGAAAATCAGCTAGGGTTCCCGCTCATGATTGCTATCCTGGATGAGGATAGGCTCAATCTTGCTGTGATTTCCTCATGGTTGAATATTCTGTCAACAGTCACTGTCAACAGGCACACATGTCATCCTGAGAGTGGTACAAAAGGAACTTGTGGATCTGTATCCTGGGAGAAAGAATAGTCAAACATGGCATTTCACCCAAAAAACATACTGTCTATTCACTTTACAGTATATCATGTGAAGCGCTTTGAGACGTCTCAAAAACCTGATAAGGCGCGATATCAAATGCAAGGATTATTATAATTGTAGGAGAGGAGAATTATGTGGAGGAAGGAGGAAGTAAAACAAAAATAATGAGCTTGGTCTTCATTTTAAGTCTTGATCAGTATCTAACTTGTTTGTTAAAAGGCTGATGCCACCCTGGAAATTCCATGGACCATGCCAGCAATAATTAACTCACTAAATTAACTGTTGTATCTTTCTAGCGGGCAATACAATCTCTCTGTGCAAAACTGGAGTGAAACTTAAATTTGACATGTCTGCCTGACAGAACTTTGGCCTAATATTCTGACCCATCTGTTAATGGTCTTTACCAATAAAAATATGAATCCTCTTGCAGTGGGGTGAACAGTGAGTATTGATTCTGAGCACAAGTCCAAGATGTGTGCTGTATTGGTTCTCTGTGATTTCAGAATCTGAAATTAAGTTTATTAAAGGATTCCCTCTACTTTACTTCTTCCGTACATTTCATTTAAAATTCCCCTAAGATTATGCTAGAATTTTTGTAGATCTTTACTGACCCCAACCGTAACTAGTTTTCATCCTGATTATGTTTATTTAAATATTTACAGCTGTTTAATATTTAAAAAGAATCATCTATTATTTATATTGGCAGATTGCAATTTTCAACTTCATATTTTTGGCTCAGAGGCCTCTTCAGATTTCTTCACCACTTGATTAGAGTTTCCGTACACTTCTAGAATTGACTTACTTTGCAGTTTCTCAAATTGCAGCAACGTTTTACTAATAAAATAAGTAATTTGGATGAAAAAGGGCTATGGAAGAATTTGTCCTGTAAAACATTTTGTAGTAAGCAAGCTGTTATTTAAATCCAAACAGCAGTGCTATGTATTTCCCATAATGTAATTTTACAGAGTTAAATGTAACTTTTATAATTAATGTTATTTTATCAATGTTTTGATACCAATATTGTGTATATAATAATGATAATCCTTGCATTTAATATAATGCTTTTCATGTGGTCGAGACGTCTCAAAGCGCTTCACAGGATATACTGTAAAGTGATGGTTAAATATTTTAAACTTTGGTTTAAAAAAAAGTAAAAAAGTAAAAACTGAAACTTCATATTGGCATAACTGGTAGATTGCATTTCTTCTTGTCTTATTTTCTTATTAAAAACGTTGACTGTGAGCAAAGCATTCCTTACTGAAGGTATTTTGTGAGCGAATATACTATATAAGGAAGCATGTAAGGTACTTAAAAATTAATGCACTTATATTGTATATGCACTCTGAAAAGACATGTAGATTTTACATATTGCTCTGGAGACATTTATATAAAGGAGTTCTACTGCAGTTGAATAATCATTGGCATTTCAGAGTGGCAGATGGGGCAGGAAATCTTGCAGCTATCTGATGTTTTTTTTAGAGAGAGGACCAGATGTTGAGCATTGTCCCTCTGTGCGCTCAATGCCAGCACAGATGTTTCTTTCCCACCTGAGTGGTTCATAAGCACTGCAGGCTAAGATGATCTGCTACAATCCATGTAAATTGTGCATTATAGTTCCAGCTAAATCGAAATCTAACTTAATACTACAACTTTTCACATTAACATGACCTGTCAGGTACCAGCAAAAGAAATGATAATCTGCTGTGTGTAGGTTTTAAATGGAGTTTTATGAGACATCTCTAGGGAAGGGCATGTTTCATTAGTGAAGTTGAGTATTGTACATTTCCTAACGCTTGAGCATTAATGCCAGTAGTTATTTTTAGATACATAATAGTAATATAATAATAATAATCCTTGCATTTGATATAGCGCTTTTCATGTTTTCTTGACGTCTCAAAGCGCTTCACAGAACATACTGTAAAGTGAATTGATTGTATGTTTGCGGGCGAATATATAGTCTCACAATATACATTGAGAATTATTGACCAGTGACTTGGTTTTGATAGAATGCTCCTTCCAGCTTCACCTGAAATACAATTCTTAAACCATGTGTTTCAAAAGCTGATACTCCTCACTAACCAATGCAGACCTTTGTTAAATGTAATGCATCATGCACCAAATTATGAATCCACCATTTTTTTTGAAATTATGAAACGTACTAAATTAGCATTGGCCCCGGAACTCTGAAACACTCTCTCAATCACTCCGCTTTAGCTGAGCTCTAGCTCAGTGGTTAGAGCACTCGCTTTGCAAGTGAGAGACCTGAGTTCAATTCCAGGCAGAGGGTGAACCCTTGGGCAAGTTTCCTTACTCCACACAGAGCCTAATAATAATCCCTCCAAAACCAAAAACAATAATAAATTGGTCATTTTCAATCTATGACTGTTTGTGGGACATTGCTGTGCGCAATTGGCTGCCGTGTTCGCCCGCAAATATACAGTCAATTCACTTTACAGTGTGTTCTGTGAAGCGCTTTGGGACGTCCTCCCGACGTGAAAAGCGCTATATCAAATGCAAGGATTATTATTATTATTAAGTTGTTGCTGTAGAAACTTGGTTGTTTTGGCCTAAGCAGCTCTGTGTCTGTTGAGATTCATTTTGTTCTATTAATGAGGAGTAAAATAAAACTAATTATGAATAAAAGGTAAATGTGATGATTTTTGTCTGTTTTCCAGGTGGATCTGCTGATCAATTTGGAGGATTTGCAGACTTCAGTTCAGTAGGATCGAGTAGCTTCCCTGTGAGCCAAGGTATATTCTTGCTCCCTTATGTTATATCGATTTTTCCACACAGATGCAAAGCTGCTCTATGGTTGAGGATTATTATGATTGTTATGAATTAAATCCAAGATCTTAGTTGAACTGTTTCATTAGTATTGCCTGAATTCAGGCATACCGCTCAGAAAACTAAGGTGGTTTTTAAAATGTGGAGACGATTCATAAATGGGGATCTTTTTTATTTTGTGGATTAAAAAAAAACATCTTCAGTGGCCCAAATTGATAGTGTTTAAAATATGGACATTTTACATAAATATGATCATAAACCAGCAAATGTTGGAATCTGACTGGCCTTATTGTTGGGAATGTTCTTTTCTCTTTGCAAAGGGTTGCTTCATGAAGCTCTTGATTAACTTTTTTTCTGAGTCAGTGCAAAGTGATCATACAGCAAACCCATAGACCTGGGATCAGAATACATTTCCAAACTGTCATGTTTCAGAGTATGGCACAAGATACTGCTGGAGATGTTGGAGGTGTAAGCTTTTAGAAGCTGTTAATAATGGATGCTGAGCTAATTGATTTTCTTGCCTTATTTTTAGGTCCTGAAGGCATTTGGCACAATTTGATATCAAACAGCATGTGTTAAGTTTCAGGTTTTCACAAGACTTTCTTCCTCATCCTTTAAATTGACAATTTAATTAAATCTTCAACTGATGCACCATGATAGTTTCCTGCAGTTTATATTTGATAATGCAATCAGTGTTGTTTACTACACTTTACTTAAATGTATAATTATTACACTTAATCTTGCGTGAGAGTCGGTGGTGAGAAACTCCACGGTGTGCATATATTTTTTAATCCCAAATCCATCAATTGTTTTGGAATAACTAGCCTGCAGTAAATAATCTTATTTTACTTGCTGCCCTCTGCACAAGTTTCAAACTTGAGAATTTCACACTGTTTGTAAAAAGCAAATCTTACCTGGGGGCTAATTATCAATCTCCTAAAATGATTGTGCTTCAAACCCTGGTATTGTGTGTCTGACTTGCATACTACACACTGCAGCATGTCTTGCACCCTTCCCCCACCTCCTCAACTCCATCAGCCATAGCTTCACAGTTAGGCTCCAAATCGCCGAGCACCTTCATTTGTATGTTTAAAGGGTAATGGTGACTCTTAAAGTAAAGTAAGCATAGATGAATGTGAATACTGTATTTTGTCTTGGGATTCAGATGCATTCTGAGGCTTTAGACTAGTATGTATGTCTCTTTCAAATAACTCATTCGAGTGTTGTGTGCAATCAGTTTAGCCCTTAATAAACTCCATTCTATTTGTAAGTGATATGCAGACCTTTAAATGTCTACAGTTCTAATAAACCAGTGTTACTGTTCAGCTTTAAGGGTGCTTTGCTCAGTGTTCAATTTGGTGGAGAGGGGAAATAAGTGAGAGAAAATAATTTATGGACTTATGTGTTCAGTAACATGGAAGTCCATAAATTATTTTCGTTGTAAATGATTAAATCTTCTGTACTGTAATGAGTGCTTATTTGAGATTTTTTACAAAAATGCATATACATATATACTGTATATGTGTACATATGTACATAATTGGTGGTGGTTGATTTATGTAATCTTATTTATTATCTTGCTTATATACTTTTAAATGCTACTTAATGCAGATACTTGTAATATGTTTATAAAACCTAAATGCTTTTAAGGTCTCATGATCATTCAAAAATGATTAATCTGGGTTGAACATTATTTCTGGAGGGACCGTAAGTGTTATAAAAGGATTAATCAAATTTGAAAATGATTTCTAAAGGGACCCAAACTATTCAGCAATGATTAATCTGCTTTGAGAATGATTTCCGAAGGGGCTATTACCAGTGCTGTGCAGCTTCTAAATTAATACAGGCAAAGATAGCTCAGCTCTGACTTTATTTATCCTGCTAGTCATGGCTCTGAACCCACTGAAATTAGGGGGTAATTAGTCAGATCAACTGCTAATTTGGTATTAGTGCTGAAAAGGGGATTTTGGTAACCTGAATCTTAAACTGTGTTTATCGTAGATCTATGCAACTTCACTAACTAATCTCCATCTTCAGATATTTTATTGTCTCCTAGATTAACGACTTTCATGGTGAGCTACCAAAATATCGGCTAAAAGTAGTGCCATGCAACATTTTGCTCAAATCTGTTTGGGAATCTAAATGCTGAACCCTAGTCCAATTATACATCCTCCATTCTTTCAGATCAGGCTATAATTTTATAAGGGAGGGATATAATGACAGAAGAATCTGGAGATCAAATTGTACTCTAAATGCCCTATGCAGTATCTATGACTTGGTATGGTATATTAACTAAGTTGTATTCAATAAATTAACTTAGGCAATCTTAACTGTGCAACAGTGCTGTTTAGAACACCCAGTGCTGCAGAGGAGAGTGGTAATGATCATTGAAACTGGAGCTGTGGCAAAGGAGTTCTTGATGTTGATGAAGCAGAATAATATGAAATAATTCACGAGAGAGAAAGAACGTGATTTTATTTTAATGTAGCATAATGGCATATCTTAAATAATGCAGCCCAAATATTTTTTTTCCACCAGCAGTGCCCTTTTGTTTAAAGTAGTTTTTGCTTTCTTACAGTATATTTCCTATTGTAATTGCAAGAGTTGATGCTATTTAATCCAATGGTGTATGGAGTTGAGAGCTTTAATTAATAGCCTGGTGATATTACAATAGTGGCTTGTAATTTTTTCCCCAGTTTCGTTTTTTTTCTCTTGATGAGAAGAGGAGCTTTCCCATATCAACCAGCAGTAGACACTCCACTGATCACAATATGCAATTTTTTCCTCCTTGTAATTTTGAAAACGTATAAAAAGAAGTACTGTGTGTGCTTTTTTTAAAAAAAATTATGCATGGAAAAAATAACACTTATTTATTTGTGACGTCTTGGGATAGTTACCTTTTTTTCTTCACTTTTCCCCCTCTAATAAGTATTCTGTTCAGTGCTTATGGAGTAAATGCTTATGTGTTTTGTGGAACTGAGCAAGGTCCTAGGTTTCATCTATGGTCTATATACTAAGTGGGATGATTTCAGCAAGCCAGAGAGCAGAACATCAGATGGAGTTCCTGCTTTTAGAAGCATAGAAACAGGAGTAGACTATTCAGCACCTTGAGCCTGTTCCACCATTTTATAAGATCATGGCTGATCTGTACCTCAAGTCCAGTTACCCGCCTTTGCACCATATCCCTTGATTACCTGACCTCACAAATATCTCTCTACCTATCTAATTGTTACCCATCGACCACTACTAGAAAGTGCACCAGTGACCAGCCCAGCAGTGAGAAGGTCAATGGTTGAATAACCATTGCTGTCACTCACTATGTAGATTCTCACATAAAGACTCGGTCCTTGGAAAGAGTATGTTGAAGAAAACTGTTTTCCTAAAACATACAAGAGGTCCAAGCAGATGCTGATGTCTTTCTTTATCCCCTGTTTGTGATGAATTTACTGTCAGTGCGCTTTACTCTTATTAACTGGGAGGATAAGTAAGACTTGCCCTTTCTGCAGCTATTAAAGAGCCTGCACAGCAGTTTCTGTTGCTATTGCATTGAAATGAAGTTTAACACAAGTTTACTGGGGGAGGGTGGGAGTATAACTGTGTGTTTATTTTTTGGGGCATTTCTTTAAAATAAATTCTAGCTGTTAGCATTCAGTAAGGAATGCTTTGCTCACAGTCAACATTTTTAATAAGAACATAAGATGAGAAGAAATTCAGATCTACCAGTTTTGCCCACATCAACTTTTAGTTTTTGCCTTTTTTTTTTACAAAAGTTTAAAATATTTAACCATCAATAAATGTCTTGGCGAAGTTGGCTGCATCCTCTGACTTCACTTCCTAATAGGAGTTGTTCGAGATTGCAACTAGAAAATGGAAAGGTTTTGATGTTAACTTTTACAGAGTTCTGTAACACTATTAATTGCAGGAGAAAGTAAGTTCAGCCCAGTTTTAAGTCATTTTAGTGTATGCTTGATGATTCGAGTTTGTTCAAAGTGACAGAACAGAGCTGTGTTTGAAATGTTGTATAAAGCTTCTTATTCTGTAACTTTCTATGACTGAGGGACACCTGATTGATATCAGGCCTGCATTACATTGCACTAAAGCTATCAGGACAGGTCTTTCTTCACAGCTTTCATTTTTGTTGCTACCTTGTTTAAATTAATACACAATTCAGAAGGAGAACAACGTTCCAGATAGAAATGCTACCTGCTGATCTTAATCGTGCTGGCCACAAATCAGGTTTGCTTTGATCAGGTTCATTGCACTCCATTTCATTTCCTTAATTCATAAAGTTGCCACTGTAATGTAACCCAAATCAAGGGTATGTTAGTAAGTTTCTTTATTTGTCGATCCGAACACTCTTAAATCCACCCCACACACTTTGTCCCACTCCCAGTGTCCTTTTGCACTTCCTGTTTGTGCTTCTTCTTATTGGCCCTTTTGTTAATTGTCAATTTACTCATAAAGGAGTATCCAACAACCACCTCTTTTCTTTCAGGTACAGTGACCAGCGGCAATGGTGAGTTTGGGGAGTGGAGCACGTTCAACCAGGTCCAGCCCTCACCCGGAGAATCCAACAACCTGCAGAGTGCCCCTGTCCAGCCCTTTGTTGCTGGTTCAATGGACTTCTTCGACATTATGGGTGGCACCTCACAGTCCACCATGACCTCATCCCAAAGCATGAACTTTGCAATGTCAACCAGTAGTACTATAGCTGCCACCAGTACCTCCATGCCCATCTCTAGATCTCAGGTGTGTGATTGTCAGCAGGACCTGTATACGCATTACAAAATGGCTGTTTGATTGTGACAAGGTTGGAGTTAAAAATTTGCTCTGACAGATGGTCTAAGCTCCAGAAGTGTTTTCTCTAGCAAGCCATGGCTAAAGCATAAGTGGATTTGTAAACATTGGGTAACAAATATTGTGGTTTGAAATGTGCATTTTTTCAATTGTTTTGCAGTGATACTGATGGGTCTATACTATACTTCGTATTTTTAGAAAATGTACACTTGTCTTTCAGCACATTAAATAGAGGCCCAATTTGCTTGTTTCAGAAAAAAGTTAAACATCGAATAATACCATTAGAACAGAGAAGGGAGTTCTCCTGGTGGACAACAACCCTCCAGACTAAATGGCCATTTCAGCTCATGATTGCTTTAAGGAGCCATGCAATATACAATGCATGTCAGGTGGCTACTATGTTTATCTGAAAAATCAATCTGTATATTTCACAGTAATTGTGCAGTGGTACGTTTGATGTGATAAGATGTCTTTGAATTAATTTTGGAATTTTCATCAATCTTACTTTTCTTGATTTTCTGCCCATTTCTTCCAGTAACTAATAATTTAGTTACACGCTGCATGGCTGTCATGGCTGCCCAACCTGTCCACGTTTCTATAATGACAATCTATAATACCAGGAAGTTGTTTTAGATGAATCATTTCCAGCAGAAAAGCGATAAGGACTGGGAAATCTTATCTTTAGATTTCCCTTTGTAAACTCTTTGACTGAGCTGAGCTCTCCACATAAGCAATTAAGTGGTCTCTTTGTTTTGAAAGCCCCATATCTTTATAAAACTAACTTTTATTCCCGTTGAGCAAAGTTTAGAGTTTCTATTATTGTTTGTAAGAAATGCTTTTTCATTGTAAATTTACAGCCTTTGCAGATATTCTCTGCTCCTTTGCCGAAGCCTAATGCTGCAACTGCCTCCGCACAGATTATGCAACATAACCAGAAAGGAGACAAGCCAGGTTTGCCTTCTACCTGGTCAGATCCGAGTGTCAACATCAGTCTGGACTTTCTCACACCTGGCATGCAACCTCCCAAACCCCAGCAGCCATCACTGAACACCATGATGCAGCAGCAGCAAGGTAAATGTCATGACATGTGTGAGAGTTCGCAGTTAAAGTGAGGTTCCAGTATTCAATATCTTATCTAATTCCCATGTTCATGATGAGAACTAGCTCCAGCTCACCGGTTTGTGTGAATATAGAGATTTAGCAACTCCTGCATTCTGACTGAAGGCACCAATTGTGGTCCCTTTTAGACGATCTACTCAACTTCTAAGGAATCTCCTTGGATTCTTCCATCAGAAATTCCATGATTAACTGATTGATTAAAATTAGGGAACGCAAGAAATGTCTTGGCCCTGACAAATGCCTTTCAAACAAACTTACAAAAATGCGAATCACATTGGTGACTCATTGAGAGCCCTTGCTCTTACAATTTCAAGGGGGGATATTATGGAAATTTGGTTAACCAAATTCTGGGTTTTGTATTTCCCTGGAGATTGTGAAAGGATTACATTCACACCTTTTGCCTTCAACTATCCTCAAGTTGAAAACTATCTGTTAATTTGTTGCTTTGACTCTGCAATGCCACAAGCTGGGTTTCAGAATACTGTATGAGGCTGAGGATTTTATCCGATTTTTTTAGAAAGAATTGAGTGAAATATCTCTTAAAAGATTCCTCCTGTCATGGAGTTCTATGAGTTGGATATTAACTATACATGCGTAACATAGTGAAGACTAAAAGGGTTCTGTTCATGCTGCGCAAGTGCACTTTCACTTCAATAAAGGCAAAAGCCTAATTTGCTGGAATCAAAAGTTTCATTTCAGTGAGCTTTTAAAACTCTTAAATTTATTCTTAACATACTGCACACAGAGTACAGTAATTTAAAATACTTTTAACGTTTAACTTATCAACTTATTTTTTGGCTACCCTATTTAAAAAAAGAATAATTTCTTTAAGACTTATTAGACATTATAATGGTATCATGACTTTTTTGGACACCCTGTACATTTGAAGAACAGGTGTATTCATTTTGTGAATCTTATTTCATTCATGCTGTGAACGCTTTGTGAAAAAGCTATGCGTTTAAGACAGCAGCAAGACCGATGGCATAATCGAAGAAGAGGGTTTTGAGGCGGGACTTGAAGGAGGCTAAGGAGGGGGTGAGGCGGAGTGATTGGGGGATGGAATTCCAGAGGTTGGGGGCAGAGTGGCTGAAGGCTCTCCTGCCAATGGTGGGGCGGGGGACGTGGAGCAGGTCGGAGCCGGCTGAGCGGAGGGAACGGGCGGGTTGGTAGGGGGTTAGGAGGTCGCAGAGGTAGGGTGGGGCGAGGCCATGGAGGGCTTTGTAGGTGAGGCCCAGGATCTTGATCTGGATCCTCTGAAGGATAGGGAGCCAATGCAAGCATTGCAATCACATTGAATCGCAGTTAATTAAGTTAGCTGTGGAGTCCTGTAGCTCAGTGGTTAGAGCACTCGCTTTGCAAGTGAGAGACCTGAGTTCAATTCCAGGCAGAGGGCGAAACCTTGGGCAAGTTTCCTTACTCCACACAGAGCCTAATAATAATCCCTCCAAAACCAAAAACAATAATAAATTGGTCATTTTCAATCTACGACTGTTTGTGGGACATTGCTGTGCGCAATTGGCTGCCGCGTTTGCCCACAAATATACAGTCAATTCACTTTACAGTGTGTTCTGTGAAGCGCTTTGGGACGTCCTCCCGACGTGAAAAGCGCTGTATCAAAATGTAAGGGAAAAAAAAATTCTTCTGCAGCCTTACGAGTTACGAGGTGATTAATACAATTGGTTAAAGAAATCCAAGTGGGTTTTGATAGGAAGTTGAATGGTACTCGAGTGCATGTGCGACTTCGGTGATTATATGATTTATAAAGATGAGATTTATGTTGAGTTTTACTATATTCTGGTTTGGACATTCAACAATACTAGAAAAACTAACACTGAATGGCACAGGAATAAGAATGAAAAGATTTTAAATCTGCTTTGCGCATGTGGTGGTGTAATTCTAGAATGACATTTTTTCCTATATGTAGAATGTTGCTTGACACAACTTAGCTGCCAAGTTTGCCTCCATAACATTCACTTCATTTCTAATTGGTCTCATTCTATAAAGAGCTCTGAGATGTTTCTTTTATGTGGGAGCATTTTTAATGTAGTTGTAATTGTTTCACCAGAGCGTGTCGAAGTTGCAATTTTCAAACTGAAAACTATTCTATAGTTTTGTAGATCCTGAAATTCTGTTCTCTGGTGAATAGCTTCAAAATTTTACATTTACAATAGAGAATTTTAAATAGTTTTTTTTCTTTCATACACTTAACTCCAGAAGTAAAACAGTACTACAAATCAAATATTAATGTTAAATTATAAAGTGCTCCCAAGNTTTTTTTAATGTACTGCATATTTCAGAGTGTCTTTGTGGTTGTTCTCTGTGCCGAAGAGGCAGTGTAATAGAGCTGTACATATAGGAGCAACATATTAACAAGTTAACTTTCTAAATCATTTGTCCAAGGCAATAGTCCACAATAGTGTGAGTATATTGAAAGCTGTTGGTGAAAAGTAATAGACTAAATATTGAAAATAATTTAATTGGAAGTCTGGAGCATGGTCTCTAATATGACAAGACTGTTGAGTAGGATACAGTTGGATCACTTATCGTGATTGTAGAAATACGACATGATTTCTTGGTACTGTTTTAGATTGCTCTGTGCCACGTCTGAACAAAACATTGATTATTCAAGTGGAGAGTACACTCAGGCAAAGGTATTCTCTCTATTGGCGGAAAAGGAGAAAGTGTTGTGTCTTGGATTGAAACCGCTTTAATTTATTATAAATTCCTAGCCATGAGGCATCTCAAATCTCTGCCTGTACTGGATTAAACCCATTTCCCAGAGATGTTATTCCCTTATAGCAGCCAATGTATGGATTGAGGGTAAATTACAGAAAGTCATTGGTTTTAATGACTGAAAATCGGTGGTGTAAAAAGTTAGATTNAAAAAACAATTTGCTATAGTGTGAGAATTCTCCTGCTGCCTTGTGATAACTCAAACACATGTCATCTTGGTGTAAAGTAGCCTCAGGAAGTCCTGCTCCTTTTTCACTAAAGCCTTTTAAAACCTGGAAGGTGAAATTGTTTTGTCAGCGGTAGACTGATGTGCTGTTAATCTCATGGCACAAATGTGGGATTCAGAGTGAGCCTCCTGACTTCCTGGTGCCTGAAGGGGGTAATAAATTGTTTGAAGTAATTGCTTTAATCAAGGAAGGCTAGCTATCCTCCGTATTTACTACATAGATGCAAAGCAGCCTACAGGGAAGTTTGAATGCAGTACTGATGTATCTCAACCTTTTAAATACACACTTTGCTCTAAAATACCATTACAACATACTGTATGCTCTGAACTTGTTTGTGTCCCCTGAAGGTAACAAAGCTGGTGTCTGAAGCAGTGCTTTATTTCTGAATAACACTTATTAGTACATTTAGTTCCTGTTGGGGTTTTGAGGTATATTTTATTTAACTTCTATAAAAATATTTGTTAATTCAGGCCTCAAAACATATGTGTTGCAATTTGCTCAAAGCAGGAATTGTGGAGTCCTGTAGCTGAGTGGTTAGAGCACTCGTCTCGCAAGTGAGAACCTGGGTTCGATTCTCGGCAGGGCGAAATGTTGGGCAAGTTTCCTTACTCCACACGCCTCTGTTTTCCTAGCAGTGAGTAGGATCCCAGTTGTTGGTCGACTGGCAGATCGCTTTTTCTGGGGTAATAATTCCTTTTTAAAAAAATTAGTCACTGACTGATTGTGGGACACTGCTGTATGCAATTGGCTGCCCCGTTTTGCCCACAAAATATACAGTCAATTCACTTTACAGTATATTCTGTGAAGTGTTTTGAGACATCTCGAAGATATGATAAGGCGCTCTATCAAATACAAGTAGTATTATCATTATAGGAACGATGTACTGTGAGCTTGTCTGTGACTAGGTTTCCTTGAGGAATCATTCCAAGTTTCTTTTTAAATTTGTTTTTTAATCAAAATAGGTATTTATTGATAGAATATATACTGACACTTGCATCAAAAAGTTCCCATCACAGAAAAGAAAAACGCAACACTAATATTCTGTTACATACGCACCATACTCGGCCCATTGTGGCAGGCGGGGGTTGGGGGGTGGGGGTGGAGAGCTGGTCTGGACGGTATTTGTTTTTTTATGTGCGAGATGCCATGCCCTAACCGGCCCAGGACACAGTCTATCACACTGTGAGGACTCTGTCCGCCACTATGTGTATGAAAATCTGAAAGCAGAGGATGTTGCTTATTTTATATTGTAGGATAGATTTTTAACACTGCAAAACAGTCATAAACATTTAAATAGCAAATGATTGATGCAGTTGATGACATTTTCATAACTCTCTCTCCCCGCTGGCCCCCATGCAGCTGTTATTAAATCCTATGATGAAAATATGGACCAGATTTTGTTTGGTCAACAGGGTGTGAACAAGAACAACAAACCACATTTATAGAGCGCCTTTCACGTCGGGAAGACGTCCCAAGACGCTTCACGAGCACTCGTGAAGCCATCACCATGCTGTAAGAGTAACCAAACCATACTACTGGGAGTTCAACATGCGTATGGGGTCAAGTGTGCGATGAAGTGCTGCCCTTTCTTCAATCCTGTGTGCTACATTGTAAATCAAGTGAAGAAGCTTAATAAAATAATGACCCTTACATTTGATATAACCCACTTCACTTCAGGAGGACATTTCAAAAGGCTTCAAAGGATTTACAGTAAAGTGTAGTATAAACGGTCGCTTACAGTGGAATCAATTTTTTTCCTAGCTCCCTTTGGTAGCCGATAGAGACTTTCCTCAGATAGTGGTTATCTCAGAATTGCCTATAGTTTTGTGTGTGTGTTGTCATTGCACCAGCAGTTCAAGATTAGAGCTGAGTTTGTGGTTACTTGGTGGTACATTAAACCCTTGTTATAAGTGGTAAAACATAGTGAATCCACTCACCGTTGAGTCATTACATGAACATTTTTCTGAGGGAATGTCCATGGAGAGGAGGGAGGAATCAAGAGAAGTTAGTATGTTCCATTTAATCTGTGTCACACTGTAGATGTTAATTAGCAGCTTTGTGTTAAAATAATTAAACCTTGTCTCTCTTCCAGGATCTCGGGGCACTGTTAATTGCTACAGGACAATTCACATATTTAATGTGGGAGAATAGCTGTTTTTGCAGATCAGTGTGGCGAGGGTAACTCTGATCTTCAAAGATCAAGTTTTAAGTAGCTAGTTAAAATGCTCATTAAATAAAACCCTGTACTTGTTTTGGGCAAGTTGTGGGTTTTGATGAGAATTCTTTTCAGTTAATTTATTTAAGGAGCAGATTCAAAATTGCACCTTAAGCTGCGATTGATAAAGCTGTTGGATGCCTTACTGCTTGTCTTGTTTTCACAGCCATTACTGCACTCACAGCTGGAACCACTCAGCCACCCATGTCCAATTTTCAAATCAAGTGTTACAAGTTTGTGGATTAGTATAGTTGGATCTGTCTCCTGGATCTCCTCAGCCTGTTGTATATTTGCAAAGTGTGCTTATATTCAGTGGCAGAAAATAGATAAACAGATACAGGGGGGGATCCTTGGATGCACACTGGGTATTTCACCTCTGAGTCTTGGGTTTGTGTGTCAACTGGATTAATGAGGTAAATATCTTGTTCTTTCTGTTACTGTTGTCTCCTCAGTGGAACAAGAGCACAAAACTCTCCCCTTAAATGATCGGAGAGGAGAGGTCTTTTCCAAACGCCACCATCATCTCTTCAGGTTGCTGAGTGCAACATTCCACCAAAGGTTTAATGCCTTTTGCCTTGTACATTCATGTATATTGGGAAAATATTGCATGAATAATATTGAGTATATACTAGACAATCAGAGTGCAAATGGGGAAATCTAATTTAATGGGAATTCAGACTGGCTGAATTGCAGCATGCTCCAATACATAATAATCCTTGCATTTGATGCAGCACCTTATCACATATTCAAGAAGTCTCAAAGCGCTTCACAAAATATACTGTATAATGAATTCACTGTATGTTTTGTGGGGGAAAAACTCACAGCAGTGTCCCACAAACAGTTGTGGATTGAATGACCAAATTATTCTTTATTTTGAAGAAATTATTACCCTGGAAAAGTGATCCGCCAATCGACTGATAACCGGGTTCCTAATTACTGCTCGGTAAACAGGCGTGTGGAGTAAGGAAACTTGCCCAACATTTCAAACTACTGGGAATCGAACCCAGGTCTCTCGCTCTAACCACTGAGCTACAGGACTCCGAACTTCAGTCAATCTAATTTCAATGAATAGTCCAAATTATTTGGGAATTCACACACTTTTTTTAAAAAATTCTGATCTTCAGTTGGCTTATGACTATTGAGACATGAGATTTATTAAGATGCTGTTTGTTGGCTAACACTCACTGGGCACAGCCTGAAATCAGTCTTATGAAAGATGACTCAGAGGGGATCTTTGCAGTCAATAACATTTTCATTGGGATTGAAAAAATAAACCATATTTTAGGATAATGATAATCTTTGCATTTGATACAGCACCTTATCACATCTTTGAGACGTCTCAAAGGGTTTCACAGAATATACTGTATGGTAATATTTTGTGGAATGCAATACCAATATACCAATGCAGTGGAACAAAGAGAATATAGGTTTTGAGTTGCAAAGGGTAATTGCAGGACATATACAGAAATATATTCTTTACCCAGAGCGTAATTAATGATTGGAACAGATTGCCAGGAAGGGTAGTTGAGGCCAGGTCGCTGAACTCATTTTAAAATAAGCAGCTTGATGTTGTGAGGGATGACGGTAGGGTGGTTATTCTGGAGATCAGATGAGCCGAAGGGCCTCCTTTATCCAAACCAATCTTGTGATTTTGAAAGCATGTTGGACAGCTATGTTGATATACCAATGAGTAGTGATTATTGTTTAAGTAACACTTGATAAGGCGCTATAACAAACACAAGGTTTATTATTAAGTGCAAAAAAAGTTTCCTTGTTTCCTGCGCTCAATATTCTAAATTTACATTAATGTACAAATGCTGCAAGTTTAAAAACAAAAGTACAAAGGACATTCAAAAACTATTGGTATTGTTTACAAATTGCAATGGGTTGCCTCATATAAAAAAAGTTAATGTTAAAATTATAAGGTTTAATATGATCTCTAAAGCTGAAATGCATAAGATGTGCTAGTGGTTACCCTTTTGGGAATCGTAATGAAAATTTTATAAACTGTATTTGCCATAATTTAAGAAACTTTTATTCTTGAACTGGTAATAAATCACATTTTTTCTCCCCCTGATTAATTGCATCCGTAGTATCTTCAGCAGCTTCTGAAACAGTTCCTGGGATATAGCGAATGATTTGTCATCTGAAACCGAGTATTTCACATCTATTCCAAGAGTTGTCTCAACCATTTTCTTCCTCTTCGCAGGTGTCCAGCAGCCAGTGAACCTTGTGGCTCAGAGCTTTGCAGGCATGTCCGTCAACTCGCTGAGCAACACAGTGCCTCCACGATCTCCAGTGGGAAGCAATGTGCCAGTAGGTATGGGAATGCAAAACATGATGGGGATAAATCCCATGGGAACACCTCAAGGCAATGTGATGAACCAAGGAATGATGGGAGCGAGCTTGGGGATGGCTCCAGCTGGTATGGCCATGACTGGTAGCATGGGAATGGGTCTTCCTGGCATGGGTGTGAATGCTGGCATTTCGGGAATAGTCCAACCCAAGCAAGATGCCTTTGCCAATTTTGCCAACTTCAGTAAATGAGAAGGTTATGAAGACTCCATTAAATAGAAGGTGTGAAGGCTGCACAAAATAGTACTTGAAGCACGTGAAGATAGGTTGTCTTACATTTTTATAGCTGTAAAGAACAAGTTTTGTGAAGAATTTGGCATATTTTGTATTGGGGGAGAAATCCAATGTTTGGCAAGATCTGTGCTGTGAAGATGTGTCTTTTTTCCTAATGGAGGATCTTTCAATAAAAATTCCCTTCATTGGCATCTTGTTTGAGAGAAACACCTAAAAGCCTTTTTATGTCAATGAATTTTAACTCTATTGAAATCACAGAGCAGGGAGGATGAAACGGGTTGGGCAAAGCTGTTCATATCAGATAATTTTTGTACCTATCTCTCTTCATGGCCTTTAATTCAGGTCCCCGAAAATCATTCAAACCCAGAATAATCATAATGTTTTTTGTTCATTCTTTACCTCCTATCTGGACACAATCAGTCTCTTGTAGCAATGTGATAATCAGCTTGTATATATCCTTTATGTAACAAATGAATGGAATTATAAAAAAAAGGCTACTACGTAAAGGTACCAAAAATGTAGCCTATTTACTGGAATGTAAATAGTTAGTTGGGTGATATGTTCCAGTACTAATGGAGGAAAGAAATTCTTTCTATCATGAAGATGTTTTTACTTTTTAAAAAATAGGGTGGAAGTTCAGCAATTTGTTTCTTCCTTTCCACCTCCCCCAACCTTATTCTGCTTTCTTGGATGGTCACTGTTCTGTGCTGAAAGCTTAAGTTTCAGCTCTGCATTTCCTTTGCACTGGTGAGACTCAGACCCCACAATGGAGAGGAGGAAAGGACTGGGCAGATCACATTGGGGTGCGTGTGTGCACAGGTGGTGAGGGGTGACCTTAACCCAGCTTATCACCTTCTCCACCCAATATGCACGCACAAGTATTTGTGTGTGTGTATATAATACACACCACCGCATACAAAGTTCTTTTAGTTTCCCCTTGAATCCTGCAAACGTGCAATATACAGTACATTCCTCTGCTCTTAGCGGACCCTGGCTTTAACAAACCTTCCCTGGTTTCGCAGCACAAGAACAGAGCAGGTGAAAAGACACCATTTCTTCCTAAATCTGTTATGTTGTGGTCCTTTTCTCTCTCCCTCTCTCTTGTTAAGAAGATTTTTCTTTTGTCTTGCTGACTGGTAAATCATGACAATGTTCTGTAATGTAAAGCCATGTTATCTGCTTGTTGGATGGGAACTTCGCTAAGAATAAACATTATCTGATAGTGCTGCAAAACTCACATCCTCCACTTACTGCTTTTTGTTTTATTTTCCAACAACCAAGATTTTTTCCAATTGTACTCATGATCTGTTATGTATTAAAACAAACTATTCATTAAAATCTGTTACTTAAAATTGTCCTTTGCATTTTTCTCCTTTTTATTGAGACTTTTAGAAAATCATTGTGAAATAATTTTTATGAATAATTCAGAGTGGTTTAATGAGCTCTTGCATTTGTCCTTTTCAGCCATGGCATTCACTATTCAAAATTAAAGAGGGAGATGTCTTGACCTCGTCCAAACCTTGCAAACTCTGCATCTACAACATTTATAATTAGGCATAAATTAATGTACTTCAAATATAGTATAATGAAAAGTGAGTAGTTTCCTAAATAAGAAATGAGAGGGTGTAATTAGTAGTCTGCAGTTTTTAATCATTCAGCAATTCGATGTGTTTAAATTAGTATCAAAGAATAGAGCACTCATCTCGCATATACAGTTACATCAAAATAATCAATGCATGCTTCAATAGTTTTCGAGCTCTTATCACAGTCAGTTCTTTTGCCCCTAGTCTTTTAAATGACTTTTCATGTAGCAAACTTGACAGAAGAGACCACCTTGTATTACTGACTAGTGATCTACTATTATCAGGCTTTAACAATGCAATGCAATGAAACTAAACCACTTTCTGTAGTTTCAGGTCATCAAATATATTGACCCTTCCTGTTCCAGGTGCAATGACTGTATACAAAGCAACACTATATTCCCACACATCTAAAGCATTCACTCTGTAAATATGAACATCACGACCACCCAAAAACTGTTGTAATATTCCTAGTTCTGGAACATGTATTATTAGAGGTAGGTATTTTGATATGTGAACATATCCCACTGTTTTCCCATTTGTAGTACGTTTCTGCTACTCTTGACTATTTGATACATTTTAGATGAAGTCTAATTCATGCAGAATGTAATACTTAAAAGTGTGTTTTGATAAGGAAATCGGAAGCTACTTATGTTTTTTAAAGTTATGCATCTAATTTTAATTAAAAATATTAAATATGGTGTGGGGGGGGGTATTGTAGTGGTGTCAATGCACAAAACACTTGTCTTTATCAAATTTAGACCATTACACAACTTGCTAACACCTGTTAGTGATGTGAGGCTTCAAGAGTAAAGTAACATTAATTCAGCTTCTCTTGGTCACTTTTACAACGTGCAGTGCACCTTTGCAATCAAAGTATTAAAATTGTAATTTTCCCACACACAGAATATGTTGCAGTCAGCATAAATGAGGTGGGGTGGAGGTGGGACTTCTGAATTTTTTTGCAAGCAATACTTTACATAGCAAACATGGGTCTTTAAATGAAAAGCTGTTGATACACATAATCGTTGTAGATGTTGAAATCTGAGGTGGTGGATCACAAAGCAAAGAAGAAAGGTGAATTTTAAGAAATCTGTAACGGATGCAATTTAGGACAGACCCTGTTGTAAATTGATTCTAAGTGCTAGAGGTTATGACCATGCAAGATCCAGGAAGAGCAATCCCACACATACAAACATAATTTAAAAAGGCTCATTATTACTCATAAAAATGCTACTCTGCTTATAACGTACGTTCCTCTCTCCGCCACCTCACCCCACACACACAGCGCACAAACTGCTCATTCTAGCTGAGATCCATCAAAGAACATTACCACCTTCAGCAATAAAGATGCAGAGATCCAGAAAATTTAATACTTGCAACTGGTTCTATTTTTTAGTATTTAAATACTTCATTTATGTGGATTCCTGTAGCCAAACCTTAACACGTCTTTGCGATGTCTCAAAGCGCTTTACAGAATATATTGTAAAGTGAATTGACTATATTTTGTGGGTGAAACGTGGGGGCCAATTGCGCACAGCAGTGTCCCACAAACAGTCGTGGATTGAAGTGACCAATTTTTTTTGAAGGAATTATTATTCCCAGGAAAAGCGATCCACCAATTGACTAACAATCGGGTTCCTACTTAAAACCAGAGGCTTGTGGAATAAGGAAACTTCCCCAGTGTTTCGCTCTGCTGGGAATCAAATCCAGGTCTCTCACTTGCAAGGTTAGTGAGCTACAGGACTCCCAAGTGCTCCGAGACATTACCCCATACGAAGGGCACCATATAGATGCAAGTTGCTGTTGTTCCTTTTATTCAGATCTACAATGGTATTGTGTAAAACTTAAGATTTTTTTAAATACAAAAGTACATTAAAACTCAGTACTTTATTATTGTAAATGTTAGGGTTCCTGAAACAACGGGGAAGGGATATGGAGGGGAGCCCACTTTGCCTTGGAAGTGATGGGACTCTTCCCTGTGGCTTTGCCGAGCTCAGAAGGGAGAAAGGAGAGACCTCTTGCACTGGACTAGTCTTGGTTGCCTCTGAGTGGCTTCTGCTCGGCAGGCACTGGCCTGCTTCACATCCCCAGCTCTGCCTGTTCCACCTTCGGCAATCGGGCTATCAGTCTACCGGCCTCACCTTATTCATTCTGGAGTTCCTGCATCTCTCCCATTCCCTCGCCTCCATCAAGGTCCGTCTAAAGACCTTCTTTGACCGTGCCTTTGAAGGTCTCCTCCTGAATCCAGCCCACAGCTCAGATGCAAACTCGCAACAGTCCCCCTGACATGAAAGGAACTATATAAATAATAATCCTTGCATTTGATATAGCGCCTTAATATGTCTTCGAAGATTTTGTTTGTGGCTGTTGAATAGGTCTTGGGAATATGTTGCCATATTCTGCTCTGTTTAAGCTGGGAGTGGCCAACGGAAGAGGAAAAAAGTCTGAAGCACTGGAAAAATCGATTCTAAACCAATACATTTCATTATCCTCCAATCTAATTGTAGGAACACCAGCAGCCACTAAAGGCTTTTAATTGATTTCTGGTTAAACTTATTTAGGAAATGGAATTCACTGTAATTTACATGTCTCTCTTAATGCTCAACATTTAGTTGCGCAATTGGTACAAGATGGGATTTTAAAAATACTGGCAGACAGCATAACGCTCAGTAATTAACTCGCTCTTAAATATGATGCCATAATGGTCCAGAGCTTGTTGGGAGATGGCCATTTTGAGACGGTGGACCAGTTACACTCAACATCTGGCATCCCTGTAGCTGGCAAACTAATGAACATGCACCTGCTCAAAAAGAGGTAGTTCATTAATAATCAAGTAGATGTAGGAGAAAATATAATTTGTCAGCCATTACTGAGATTGGAGTCAACGTCTTGTGAATCATCACTGTCACACTGAATCGAAGTGGTGGATCAGCAATGAGGCTCTGTGCAGACCGACAAATGGTTTCTGGCTTGTCTTCCTGGAGAGTGAGTGAGTTGGTTCTCCTTCGATGAGCTGATGATGATGGTTAACACCCAGGAATGAGCTGTAATTAACTGCAATTTGACACTTTCTTGATCAAAAATATTTTCTGACTGGAATACTAAAGACAATGTTGTTTGTTGTCAAGTGTTGTCAGTAGCACTGAGTATTGCCAAATTCTGCCTTGTTTTGCTAATTGTCATATTGAGGTCGGAGAAAATAAACGGTTTGTAAAACGAGAATCTGAAATAGCCCAACTTTTCAAATTACCTGGAAATCGCGTCAACTTCAAAAATGGTTGCACATTTTCGGGTGCACATTAGTGAGAATGACCCAATTAGTTAAGTGATCGAATATAGTATTAAGAAGGAAATGTCACATTCAATTAAAATTAAGATCTGTTGAAATGTTACTAAAGGCATACTTAGTGCATTATGGTTTTCATTTGCATAGCAATAGGATTCGGTGTACTTGTCTTGCTTGTTGCAGCCGATGGTACTTGAACATGAACTCGTTCAATGTGGCCACATTAGTAATTAATTATGGTGCAATAAGTGTTTCAGTGAATGCTGTTTGATTTCAATCAGAAGGATCATTTGCTTCATTGCAAACCAGCAGTTGGGACGAGTTTTTTTTCCAGGTTTTGGTAAGGTCGGTTTTATTGCACAAATTTGGGTTTTTGTAAAACTCATTCATGCCACATAATCAAAGACCAGGCAACGTCATTTAATAGTAACTTATTTGACTGTTCAACTGGCATTGTCCTGACGATTTGGTTTAGGCTGACACTAGCGTAGTATTGGGGAGCACTGCATTGTCACAGATGCTGTTCTTTGGATGAGACATTAAACCAGTGTGTGTGTGTGTGTGTGTGTCAGCCTGGCTACGTTGGTAGCTTCTCGTCTCTGAATCAGAAGATTAAGTGTTCAAGACCCACTTTTGGACTTGGAACCCATGTATTAAAGATCCCATCATACTATTTTTAATAGGGGCATACAACTGTTCTCCCTATTCTGGACAAGAATCCTCTAGATAAATGCATTCATGCCTGTACGTTGACAATTATGAGTTGACAGCAATTCGGTAGAGGACAAGGATTGTTATTTAAGACCTTTCTGCCCTCAAACTTATGAATTTTATCCATTTGAATGCTTTGTTAACTGAATGCTGTGTATGCGTGAATCCATCTTTGATTGACTAAATTCTCAGACTTATTCCACACTGAGGGCTGCGGGAGGAAAGTAGTAGCAGACACTGAATAAATCACAATAATTAGTTTTAGAGGCCATTCGACCCATTGAGCATACACTGGTACTAGCTCCTCCACTGGAACTATCCGTATCCCAATTCTATACCATCTATATATTACTCCTTTTCATTATTTTATCTAATAATTTAACTTTAAAAGTTAAAATCTTAGCTCTTTCTGCATTACATTCCAGCATTCAATTTGAATGAATGATGGCATTGACAGTTATCACCAGGAGCCTGAGAGATAAGCACAGAGATCCCATGGGTGTGATGTTTGTGTGAGTTCAGAGATAAATCTTATCCTTGCTTCTCATGTATTAGTTCTTCACCCTTTGACTCATGCTCCGCCTCAAGATTGGAGATTTAGTCATTTAGGTGAATTGCAGCAAACACCAGTGGAAACAAACTTCAGCATAGCTTCATCAGGAGGGGAGGAAAGAAATGCTCTCTTAACACAAATTCTGAACTTTTAATAGAAATCCCAAATTGCTAACACTGCACCCAATATTTTTGTGGCTGAAGGGGTGGGCGTTGGGGGGGGGTGGGGGGAGGGGGGGGAGAGAGAGACACCCACACACAACAGTTCTCAGGTCGGGGTAAACTCACCCACCAAACTATCACCCAACATCCTTGGCAGTTAATTAAATCTACTGCCCGTCAATTTAATACACTGGCCACTGGCAACCTCGAGTAGAAAGTACATCAATTGCAAATTGTAAGTAACCAAAATATGCCTGTTTCAGAGATTTCGCCCACAAAATAAACAGTCACTACACTTTACAGTACATTCTGTGAAGCGCTTTGAGACGTCTCAAAGACATGATAAGGCGCCATATCAAACGCAAGGATTATTATTATTATTAATTTCCTCCTTTTCCAGAAGGACAGCCATCCACATTTCCAGGTGGTTAAAATTTTACAGAGGTCCAAGAAAACAATGAGTTGTGTCCAATTTCTCCATTTGCTGTGACTCTCAGCACAGCTCCAGTACACTGCAGGTGTTGAGGGGAATGGCCAGAAATTCTCCACATTCTTCCTGTTCCATCACTCCAACAAATTTATCAATAAAATATTTTCTCCACGAATAAACAACTGGTTCACGTGTCTCTGAGAGACTTTCTGATAATCCACCTTGGGTTTACTGCTCCTGTTCCTCTTCTGCTTTGCTCCTGTACAAGTTGAGGCCACTTTCTCCGATCTCCTCTTTGAGAGGTCACTTCCTGACACCTTATTCAATACTGAAGAGTTTAAACTATCGGGATTCACTTCTGTTGGTGCAGCTTGAACAAGAGTATTCAGACTTGCGCTCTCAGCCCGATGAGCTGAGGGAAAAACTTCAAGGTTCTTAGGTGAAGAATCGCTTGGCTTCATACTCTTTTCCTGGTCTTCCAATTTTTGTTGTATCTTAAGCTTCTCAAACAACTGTATTTTAAAATAAAGTCAACAGATTACATTTTAAACAAATGTGTTTTGGCGTTTTCAATCCATAATTAATGTTTCCCTACTTGCAATGTTGCTAATTTTATTCATCAACTCCCCTTTTAACTCCCAGACCTGAATAAATTTAACACAAGAAAATACATTTAATTTCCCTTAATACTGAGAGAACAGCAAGGTCCAAGAATTCACTGGGACCCTGTGACTTTTGCAGCTACATTATATAATGAAATTCACCTTTAAAATCAAAAATTTAAAAGCTCTCTCATTTTTAAAAGCCGAGCGATGAGATTGCTACCTACCCTGGTAACAGTTAGTGCTGGTTCATTGTAAAAGGCTTTGCCAAGGATGGGCTTCCTGAAAGTTTCATCTACGTCAACAAGTGCCTAGAAAAATGGTCAGAGACAAAACAAGTTACACACATCACTGATATATGTCACAGAATTAGCATTCTCTTAATATTGAGAATGATTGGGAAAGGGCTAAGGCCCAAACTACAGGATACAACCAAGATCAAAAGAGTAGAAAAACCTAGAAATCATATGAGAGATGCCCTTTAGCCCATTTGATCTCATCTTTCCAGTATACTAAACCTTTGTCTTCCCATTACAGTACCAACTGTTTCTTAAACAGGTCCAGTGCCCTAGTCTCAACCACCCTTCCTGATAACTTATTCCAACTGGTTGATTATCTTCTATATAAAGAAATAATTCCCTGCATCTGTCCTAAAATTGCCCTCTTGTTAATTATTGAAGCTGTAGTTTGGTGTAATGCCAGTTAGGTGATGCCAAACTTCGATTTTAAATATTGCCATGGAATCTTTAAAGTCCACCTGAAAAGGCCGACAGGTCCTCAGTTGAATATCTCATCAATATAATGGAGCACTCCAGCATACCAATGAAAGATCAGCCAAGACTACGAGTCAAAGCCCACCACATGGGATTTGAAACCAAAATCTTCTTCCTAAGAGATGAGACTGCTACCAACTGAGCCACGGTGATACCTGACAAAACAAGCAAGTTAAAAGTGGGAAAAGAGAGTAAAGGCCTTTCTCCTAAGCACCTCAAGATACTGAAACATCTTCGTAGGGCTTAGGAATGTCACCAAGAGCTGGAGGTGTTCCATCAAGCGAGAGAATATTGATCATCATTTAATTAAGTCTTGTATAAATCTTGAATCTTGAGCAAAAAAGGACCCGTCACTTAGCTGTACTGGATTTAGGCAAGGCTGGACTCTGGCACTTTGTGGCTCTGTGTTTAAGTTCATGGTCTGCTTTCCTGCATTATGAGCAATTATCCGCACAATTTTTGGACGCAGTGAAAAGAACCCAGTCAAATGGTAGTAACTGCTTTCGTGTACGGCTGTAAAAAATTTATACAGTTAACTGAATCACTGATGTCTAAGTATTTTTAATAGAAAGATTCTGAGCAATAACTAAAAGTACGATTACTTTGACAAAAATGAACAATTTTTCCAAATGCTGAACACTTAATGGAATATTCTGTTCAATGTTCCACGGTCTATGTTCATTAAGTGCCTTCTGAGTGCTCCTAATAGTTCAAGATATTTTATTGGTTAAAGGGGAGTTCTCTCTGGGAGCCTGTTCAACCTTTTCTTGTACCCTTGCTACGAAACAGGAAAATATTTATTATACAACACTCCTTACCTCTAGCCTTTGCAGTCACCTCTGTCTCTATGCTATCCTGATCCTCCATTTTATCAATACTATAGTCAATGTTCTCCTGAAATTTGCTGCTCTATCTCCCAAACTCCCAATACATCATCCCACACGCATCTTCACTGCATCTGAAAGAAAGCTCAACTCACTGTCCGCTATTTTGTAGAACCTCAAGTGTGGTATTCCTCACTTCACTCAATTTTCCCTTCCTCCTATAATCTTTAGGCTTTCAAATCGCACGCTTGACATTATATAATCCATATACTTTGATCCATCTTGTTTTTGTGCTACTCTTTTCAACTCCAGCGGTGTCCTGCACCATAAACCTTGGCTCTTCATCCAGATTTCTCTATATAAAAAATAAACCTCAGTATAAAATAAACATCCTCATTTGCTCTGTTGCTTACAAAATGCGATACCTTTCCAGGTGAGCTATTGGGAAGAGTTATTGAGGACTATGGTCTGAGACAACTGAATTAACATTAGTAGAGACACAGTCAATTCAAGAGGATGTTTTAAATATCTTCACATTTCAATGTTGTGTTAAGGTAATTCAGCTCCTTCAGGACCCATTACTCTAGCTCTCAAGATGTCATGTTCAGTATTGCCACAAGAATTTATCATTAAAGAAAAACAAAGTGACGCAGTACATTTTGGTCGTTAAAGAAATACATCTTACATGGTAATGATTTAAATGGAGTATTGAAGCAGAGGAACCTTAATGTGCAGAATCACAGTTGATTAAAAGGTGGCAGGTAAGTTGATAAAGCCAATAACATTATATGTCAACACAATCCTTGGCTGTACAATCTAGATGCATAGAATGCAAAAACGCAAAGGTAATATTTAACTTGTACAAGAGTTTAGATGGGCTAAAATTGGAGTATTATGTATAGTTTGGGGCATTTCTTACAGGAAGGATATAAACCAATGGGAAAAAGTTGAAGCATAGATACACCCCGTGTTACAAGAGATGATGGGTATCAGTTATGAAATGAGTCTTCAGAAATTAGGGTTTTTTTGCAGTAAAGCTAAAAAGTGAACAGATTTACTCCAACATGCATTTTGTGTGACCACCTCAAATTCCTCTTACCACCATCTCCACCTGATAGTTCATTCATGTAGCTGAAGATTCTCTCTCAGATTTGGAAGGACAGCATCCATTTTTTTTATGCATCTTTCTCAGTTCAAAGTGAACACACTATTATTATTAGAAATTATTATTATAAAACATCCAACTGCAATGCAACAGCATAAAGTTTTGGCTTTTCTCTCTGTTTTACAATTCACTGAAACCCAGCAGTAATGTGCAGTGACTCTATGTCTTACTATGTTCCAGAACTTGTCAAAGGCCACCAGGAACCCCGAACAGACACCACGCAGTCCTTTAAAGGTCCGAATGTGAACATTGATCTTTATCCGGTCCCGTACACAACGATGCAGTTCACCCAGAGGGCTACCTTCATGTACTGTTAAAAACAAAGTTAGAATCATCAGTGCAGTGGACAGAGGATGTGATTCATCTTGGAGCAAGCTCGGTATTATAATAATAATAATATTCTTTACATTTGGTATAGCGCCTTCCACATCAGGATATGCCAAAGCACTTCACAGGATTTACTGCAAAGTGTAGTGAGACTGTTTGTTTTGTGGGAGGACACAATATTACGCAATGATTGAGGTCAATATAGTGGTAGATTCACTAATAAAGCACATCAAATGTGCCAGAAGCAGATATCCCCTTCCTCTATCCCAATGCCATTCTCAGTGATAATTTCTACTCTGCAATCTTGTGCTCAGTAAAATTACTACAATGATTACAAAGCCCTTAAAAACCTGGCGCCAAGTTACTCAAGTCATCGCCACTGAAGTGATGACTTGAGTACCTGACAAACAATTCAAAACTTAATGCCACCACAAGAGGTCACCTGTGTGGCACCTTTTTCTAATGCTCCACTATCCAACAGACCAACCTCTCGCATACATACATATATGTGTTTAAAAATTGCACTTTATCATGTCATCAAAATGTTTCAGACCACTGCACAGGAATTACTGTGTAGTGACTATATATATATATATATATGTAAGCAAACATAGCTGCTAATTTGCACACGGCGATGACAAGCAATTCTGAAGTAAATTATCAATTGTATCTGGGAGATTATTGGCCAGAACACCAGGAGGAATGCTCTTGTCTTTTGAAAATTGCTGTGGCATCATTAACATTCACCTGAGCAGGCCGATGTAAATTTAATATCTCATCTGAAGGTTGGCACCTCCAACAGTGCGGTGCTCTCTCAGCACTGCACATCAACAATAAAAATTTGCACTGATACAGCGCCCTCCATGCAGAGCGCTTAACAGTCGTGGAGCCTGACTCTGAACCGGGGGGGGGACTTGACAAAGTGGGAGAGAGGGGCAAGGCGGAGGGATTGAGGGAATGTTTCATATCAACCCAGACTGTGAGCTCGAAATCCCGATGTTGGGCTTGATCCCACAATTTTCTAATGCAGAGGTGAGAGAGCTAACAACCGAGCCAGGCTGACACCCTGTAAAGTAAAACTGAAGTAAGTTTTCTTGAATATAAGCAAGTCAACCTAAATGATGGGCTATATATTACGAACTATTTTACAGTGAAATATATTCATCTCACCTGAGGTTGTCAGCATTCAGAACCATCTATTTACATAAAACAACTAGCAATATCAGAGAATAAGGAAAAATTCATCTTGTGACTATAGGAAGCACAGCTATCCATGTCCGCACCTCCACTTCAGCCTCTTGAGACGCACACCTTCCTGCACCCTAAATTACTTCAATGCTTCCCAACTCTTTCTGTTCTGGCTGGAACTAAAATACGAAAGTAATGTGTGACAATCAAATAGGCACACTTGTTGACAGACTGTGATGGGAAATAAATAGAAATGATTGGTTTTGAAACCAACTCAAAACACCACCAGGGCAACATGGATTTATTGTCAGGCCATTATTGTTCTCTGCCTAAACACCTATGGTCACATCCTCTTTCTCCCCGCTCGCCATCAAACTATGCCGCTGTTAAATGCTCCAAGAGCATTCCCCGTGTGAAGAGCAATGTATAAATCCAAGTTATTGTTGTTGATTCTAGCATTCCCCCTGATCTCATGGGCATTTATTTGTAGCTGTGTTAAGCATGATGTATACAAACTGCAGAGACTAGGTGGCCTGCATTTGATGAAAAACAAACCTAGTTATTTGGAACTCAATGAGCAGCGTACTCCTGAATATTACAGAATGAGATATGTGATTCCAAATGGGAATTCAAGTAAAATGAAGTGCAATATTGGGGCAGTGGGAGAGATGCAATAAAAGACAGGGAATAAAAAGATAATAATAATAAGCCTTGCATTTGATATAGTGTCTTATCACGTCTCTGAGACGTCTCAAAACGCTTCACAGAATATACTGTAAAGTGAATTGAGTGTATATTTTGTGGGTGAAACTCGGCAGCCAATCTAGATATGACAGAAAGTACAAGATACAAAATACAAAAGGAAGCATTATGAAGTGAGGGATGGAAATTGCCACCTATTTGAGATTAATGAAAATGTACACTCTCACCCTTTGCAACAAGCATGTCTCTTGTTGACCAGTCACGAACCAGCCCTGACAATAACCACGGAGAAGTTCATAGCCCCGACCATCCTCCCTCCCCGCTCCAGGAGGCAAGCTGCTCCTGCGGGGAAACAAAGAGGAAAGGTCAGGGGAGCACATCAACTCTCTATCCCTACACATGGAGTTGGGAGACCGAGGCCAGATCAGTGTCAGAAGCCCATAGCACAGTGAGATCAGTTCACCACCTGGCAAAGGCCCCAAAATTAACTCTCAATTAATACTTCAGCTGCTTTGAACTTTTTTCCTCTCATTTATTTCAAACAGCAAATTTCCTGTCCTACACATGCTTCCCCCTCCCTAACTGCAGTACATTCCCTTCACTCCCTAGTACCTCCCTACCTCTCCGACCTCCTTAATCCCCAATCCACCACCCAGCGCCCCCGGTCGACTGGGCTCTTGGTCGTGGAGTCCTAAAGCTCAGTAGTTTGAGCACTCGCCTCGCAAGTGAGAGACCTGGGTTCGATTCCTGGGCAGGGCAAAATGTTGCCCAATATTTCTCCGCATGTCTCTGTTTACCTAGCAGTACGTCGGAACCCATTTGTTAGTCGATTGGTGGATTGCTTTTCCTGGGTAATAATTCCTCCTCCCAAAAATAATATTAACTGGTCACTTCAATCCACAACCTTGTGTGTAATTAGCTTCTGCGTTTCACCCACAAAATATACAGTCAAATCACTTTACAGTATATTCTGTGAAGCGCTTTGAGACGTCTCGAAGACTATATATAATATATATATATAAGGTGCTATATCACATGAAAAGATTATTATTATTACATGGGAGTAACAAATGTCCTCTGGGGCAAAATCAATCACAACTGATGGATCATTTTGGTCAGACTACAGTTGCAATACTGTGTGCAATTTGTGGATCCTCATTAAAGGAAAGATGTCAAAGCGCTGGAGATAATAATAATAATCCTCGCCCCCTGTCTTGCCTCCTTGAAGACCTGTATCAAGACCCTCCTCTTCGCCCGTGCCTTCGGTCACCTACCTACCCCTACCCGCCCTCCACCTCTCCTGATCCCAACCACCAGCTCGGGTGCAAATGCCTGACTGTCCAGGACCTGGGGACGTCCTCCTGACATGAAAGGCCCAATACAAATGTTATTTGCTGTTGGTGTTGTCTGTGTGCCTGTTCAAATTGCATAAGATTGAGAGAATGAATGTTCTCAGTGTGCAGGTCGAGTCACAACATAATAAGAAAGATGAGGTTCTGATGTGCAGTTTTATGGCCACAAACAGCAAAGGATTTGTGACTTGTGGCCAATATCACAACTGGAAACCAAAATCACAT